GATGTGATTGTATGAAAATGATAGCATAGCTGATTGCTAATTGAGTCTAGTCATAGCTCTTTTACAAACTACATCAACAAGAAAATTAATTCAATTTACAATTATAACGACCCAATATGCATTACTACACGCAGTGGTTAGTGAAATCGATCAAAATAGATCATTTCATCTATCAGCTATATTAATATTAACAATTTTAACAGTTCTTTATTTGAAACTTTTACGATATTAGCCTTGTTCTAAGAATCAAGACTTTAATGGAATAAAATAGTTTTAATATCATTATCAATCTGTTTGGCCAAGGCATTCTCATTATTTTATTGTTAACTGATAAACCACCCCATCAGCTGGTATTATTGACATTATTGGATATGACAAGATGGTACACCTTGTGTTGATTGTATATCAATCATATTGAATTTGATTTGGTCATATTCCTGGCTGTCACAACAATGACCATGATTGATCTTGTTACTCAAATAGTCCGACGAGACATAGTTAAATGCAATTTATAAACAATAAAACAATGATAAGTCGCCTTGCTTGTCAGCATAACTGAAAATTTCGTCTAAAGTTGATGATTCAATCTCCATATCAATATAAATTGTCATCATAATACAAGTTCAATATTCAGTCTTCAAATATAAGTTTACAAGAGCGAAATCCTATCAATTTCTGTTTTACCTAGCGTTCACGTAGGAAAGGAAATCACATTTATCATTACTAAATCTCCAAGTTATCATGTTCTATTAGGTAATGCTTGCATTCATTTGATATATTATTATTTTAATATTATTCGAGTTATCTTAGATCGTTTAAAAAATAATTTTAATTTGCAATTGATCCTATATTTATCGCGATCGAATGATTAATTTATAAATACAAACAATTAGAAAGGTGCAAATAGGTCGTAGAAATAGTAGACTACAATTAATTTTACTCTCTTATCTTTTATTTTGGTTATCATTATACGATACTTCCATACAACTCAAGCTATTTACTGTTGGATACCAGTACATATTTTCATCTTTCTTTAATCGAGTACCGGTAAATTGTGATAAAATTTTCATGAATCTGATACTTTCATCAATTAAGCTGATCCTGATCCATATTCCTGTTCAATATCGTTAAAGTGCGTGGCAAGTCCATCTTAATGCTCCGTATATTTACATTTACTCATACTTGCAATCTTTTACGCCTATTAAAAACTTTCTTTCCGTAATCCGTAACAGATTCTACTTTACGACAACATGAACCTAGGATCAAATTAGAGACCATTTCTCTTTCATTAACATCTACTTATACTGAAAATAAGAAGTCATACATGCAATGCATTAAACTAATTATAAAATACTATTTTAGTCAAAGAAAGATTTGTTCTACCCTAAAATGAGCTTATTCGACTAGTACATGTGCCGTGAATGTCGTTCTCTTCCCCCTGCTATGGAACATTACTTTTATAATCATCTTTCACTAATTGAAAGAAGCTTTCAATTCCTTCGCATAAAATTACTTTATCAAGACCCAATTTTGATGTTATCATCCTAAACTAATTGTGATTCTACCATTATGTATTCGAAAATGGGCTTATTCTAATCTGATTAAGTTTGCCTACGAGGTTTATATTTGCAGTATGCCCATCACTATCTATTTCTAGATCAGATTTAACTTCAAATTTGACCCATCTGGTAGAGTAATAGCCATTTGCTTTTATAGGATATTTTCATCTTAAGCGTCGAAAAATTTTTATTTTAAACGAATCAAAATAATTCTTGATGTATCCTATTGAAAGTAAACTGATCCTAATCGGTGGTTTACCTTGAAAAATATTTATATTCCATAATACTAACGGTACTTTACCTTCTTTAAGTTATATAAAGCCGTTATTTTATCTATAGCTTACCAAATGATTCAATCAATTCGTGATATATCCCTACACACTCATTAGATATTCTTGAGCAATAAATGAATCATTTTGGATGTTCATTATGATGACGTACGCACATACCCTTCATTGCAGTATCTGGGAACAAAGTTATTCATCTAAACTTTTGAATTTTTGAGCCCTACACCAATATAATTGATATACAAATTCTTTCTTTTCTATATGTACAATTAAGGTTAGGTAAAATAAAATAAGACGAAATCTCTTATTTCTTGTAGGTCAATTCCGAACTTATTATCAAATTTTGCTGTTTTTCATAATCGAGTTTCATTTTCATCAGGTAATGATATTATTACATGCAAATTTAAAAATTTTTTAGATTGTTCAACAGTTATATCAACTTCTGCAGATGTATCATCTAGAACGTAATTTACATCATGTTAACGAATAGATTCTGATTCTTGAGATTAATCACCTTTTGGTATACGATACTTGATAACTTTATCTAAGGTGTTAACATAAACCAAACTGGAATTTTTTATATATATGAGTATATATTACTATAGGTCAGATCTAAACTGATGGGTGATTAGGTAAATTTAGTTATTTTCGTAGCAAAGATTTCATATTTAGTTCGCCAATTAAGCTCTTTTTATCTCAACATGAAAAACACTTGCATACTATCTTTCACATACTAACATACACAGTAGGGAAAATCGGTATTCCCTAAGAGAAAAAATTAATGTCGTTTCATATAATTGTGTTGTGGCGCGAAGGGGACAACTACTACTAGTAATCTATAATACTAATTTTATAATATAATAGCAACGTTAATCAAAATTTACTATAATCAATATGTAACATTGCTTACTTAATAGAACTGAAATAGTAGGCCTGTATTTCTTTCTCCAAATAATCTTCAATTTCTTTGTGCAAAATAATCCCTTAAGGGTAAAAGTACAATATTTTTTTATTCTTCTAGTATCTTTATTCTTAACGTGCAATTATATGACAAGAATGGATTTACTTTTAAGTATTGGATCTTACGTTACCCTCTAATAGGTTGAGAGTTATATAAATTTAAGATGACAGCAAACTAACCTATTTTTCTTCTATACTTATGTATTTTAATATTATTCTTTATCCTGATATTATTTTTAGCTAATGTAAGTTTATTATACCTTACATTTAGTTCCTTTTACTTTCCACGTTTCTTATATTGTTATTTATTTTGGACAGCCTAAATATATTTTTAATAATACTATGAGAAATAATAGTACTTTTTTCACCATTAAACTCTTTACTATTAAAAAATTATAATTCATTAAAGTAGACCGTTCTTATGCATTGAAAAGATTACTAAGGATATCAGTAAGATTCTTTCATTAATGCTGCAAACTATACTATTACTGGCCTAAAGCAAAGTATTAGAATTTTTGAGGGTAATTGCAGTTAATAAGAAAAGGCCAATTTAATTATCACAACAATTCTATAAATCTAGTAAAAGCAGTAATAATTAATTACTTCGCTAATTGATCTTAAAATTTACGAACTGCTTAGGGATGCTAGAGCAAAAAGTAAACTAAATTAGTGAGGTTAAATTATCTAAGCTATCCTTTACTTATACCGCTCATAATGCAATGTAATCTCAATTGATAGTTAAGAAAAATGAATTAAATTATGGTATGCTGTGTATTTATAGGCACCCTAACGAATGAATAGGTCTTAGCAGTTGTACTGCACCTAGTTACAGACAATAGCGGAGCAAATTGTATTTAGATTACATGTTCTACAGCAATATTCTAAAAAATGGATTTCAGCTAGCGTTACATCGTTATAATATTATTATTTCATTTCCTGATATTTTATTTTGTTATAAGGTAGATCGCCATCTGGTAGATTGGACTGATTCTTACTGCGGTAAGGAACCATGCAACAGTAGATAATTCTTATATAACTCGTACTTAGATCAATTATCCCTTTTAGGCTATGTGGTTTTAAATTAGGGTTATACGAGTAGTTAGTTTTTTTCTCCAATCCATTACTTAATTTGTCGAAATACAGTATACTATTCGCTCAGAGGCAGATAGTATTCTTTGCAAATTGATACTTAGGTTACGAATTTCTCGTGATGAAAATTTTAATTGTTTTGATTTATGTTCTTATTAATAATCAAAATAACCGATAGTATTATACAATATGATAGCATACTATTCAGTAAAAATTTGTGAGGTATTTTATCACCTCACATTATTTCGTTTCCGATGATTTAGTTTTAGACTATAAAGTATTGCAAGGTAACATTCGTAATATTGCCTGCCTTTCTTGGCCATTGGTTTAACAAGTTCATGGTACTGATTCTTAGTCAGCTATTTGGTCTTAAATTGCATTCCTACTCAACATAAATTCTTCGATACCGTCATTTTATATTCGTTCCTATTCTTTCATTTCTAGAAATAGGTTGAAAGTAAATAATAAGTAAGTACTTCCCTAAAACTAACTTCTGTATATTTCTATCCAAGTGAATAAGAAAAAATATATTTACTACAAATTTTTAAGCCGATATACGTAAATGGTACCTTGCGAAATGAAACTTTAGGTGCTGAAGTATAGTAACAGATTGCAGTTAATGATACTAGTCGGCATTCTTATAGTAAAATATCATCTATCCTTCCTTTTGTTAGGTATTTTAGGCTTAGCCGCAGCAACCACTCCGACAGTAAATTAAGTTAATGGACAGATTTCGATTCTAAGTGTAGATCTTTATTTTCTATATCAACGAAAACCCTGTACAAGGTTAGACCTTGCATAGACGTATACTTGTATAATTATAAATTAAGTATTCCATTTCATTAAGCGTTAGAAAGCCATAGTTTATAACACTGAAAGCAATATCTAATAGTGCAGCATAAAATCGGTGCAAATATAACCGCAGTTACAGTCTAAATTAGTAAAAGGAATTGATTATCGGTATGGAACTAAATTAAGCTTCCAATTTCATCAATTGATTGATTTCTGCATTTTAATTTCTCCATTTCTTGTAGAAAATTTGTTCAATCCCGTCTGTTGATAAGAAATAAAAGAAAATATCGTGATATAATAAATATTGAGCGTCATGCCAAGATCTAAAGGAGCTAGAGGGGCTAATAAAAAGCCACCATATTCTTATATTACGTTAACTGTTATGGCCATTGCTGCATCACCACAAAAAATGCTGCAGTTGAGCGATATTTACAAATTTATTACCGATAACTTTCCTTATTATCGTGAAAATCGCCAGCGTTGGCAAAATTCGTTAAGACATAATTTATCATTTAACGATTGTTTTACGCGTATACCGAGACAACCTGGACAAAGCGGTAAAGGTGGCTTTTGGGCGTTGCATCCAGATTGTAATCAAATGTTTGAAAATGGAAGTTTACTACGTAGGAAAAAACGATTTAAATCGAATCGAAAATCAATAGAGGATGAAAATTCTAGTCTAGATCACGCTAGCAATCCTATCGATAGTAATCAACATCCACCTGTACCACACGGTGGATCAAATAATTACTCTGATGGTAATAATAGCGGTAGCCAATACTCAAGTAGTCGATTTCTTCGTAACAATGATTTTTATCACGAAGATATCGATAGTTTAAATGATCCATTAAAAGTAGCTCTTCCAAATAATGATAACAGTTTTTCAGGGGTTAACAAAACATTTTGCAATACTACTAGCAATCCATATAGCACTTCTTACCCGCCTTGGTCCAATATGACTCCTAATAATATATTACGTTATGATCAGCAGCAGCAGCAGCGGCAACAACTTTTGGCTCAACATCATCAAGGGCTAGCGTTAGATAATAATATATCGTATGTTGTTACGGCATCTTCTACTCACCCTGGGCAGCAGCAAACACAACATGGGACTATTCAACATGGCTCCAATGTACAACATGGCACTGTTCAAGCTGGTAACATTCAGCACGGTAATCTTCAACATGGTAATATTCTCAAACTGCTAACATTTAATGTTGATAATTACCAATATTGACGGTTATTGCTTTGAGAATATACATTGATGATTTAAATACCGTAATTAGTGTTAAATTCTCCATTGTTGGTTTAAGAATCGAAACATGTTATTATCTTTACCTGTATCAATCATTTAATGGAGAGTTTATGCAGTAATGATACTTTACGCAAATATAGTTTTACGGTGGTTTGGCTAGCTTTGTACGCAGATGTTGACATTTTTGGTGATCATAATGCTAGAGTCAATTATTGTCAATGTTCATTATAATGTTGATAAGATGTTAAAGGAGAGTTAAAAGTTGTCGCTTCGTCATTTAATGTTAGTTATCATTTGCTGCAATATATGTATGTTGATTCATAATATAATTACAACATTTTAAAAATCCATGTTAATTGTATCATTTGATTTTGAACATTTTTGTAATAATTACGTTTAATTAATTAATTATAAACTGTACCGTTACATTGATCTATAATAAATATAAGTGATGAAAAAAGTTTTCACTACTGTATTTATGTCACCATCAAGTACAACAATCTAGTAATATAGTTAACACAGTTGTCGTTATTTAATTATTGTATCGGTTTGTGTTATTGTCAATATCAATTCAATTGTTAGCATACGATTCCCTACTTATTCCTATGATATATTTTAAAATTCGATATTGATCGATGGGGAAGGTGTATTCATTAAATAAATATGTTGGTATATATGTATATTGTACAATATTAAATCACAATAGTTTACTGTGATTATTATAGCATAAAAGTACGAAGTTACTGCTTTTTTACTGATATTCAACAACTATCATTTGAATTGTTTACTTTACCGTATGGTAAAATATTCGTAAACCGTCAAAATATTATTATTGATATAGACAATGAAATAAACGCATAATAACTTTGTAGAAGATCGATTATATATGTACGAGTATATCACTGTTATATAGGGATTTTTGCCAGCAATTTTTATCGATTTCGCACAACAATGTTATATTCATATAATATCGCATTAACTAAAAATCATTGTGTTTTCAGTAAATGTTAATGTTTTACTATTAAATGCGTTTATGTCTTCGTTTATTTGTATGTGATTCCATAAACCTGTGTCACATTTTCGGTATGATATCGTTATTTTAAGTACGTAAAAAGCTATTATAATTTAAAAATTGTATACAGTTTCAGCGTTGTGATTAAATAGAGACATAGTTATTTTTTGATCTTGAATTTGAATTCTCTAATTGGAACTTTAGCGATATCGACGAGTTTGTCTACAATGACGCTCGGCTTGTGCATAAGGCAACATTTGAGGATATCGATATTTTTCATCATAATTTAGTATTTAATCCAATACATACGGTATCATAAACTCGACAGATACGTACAGCTACCTACGAGTATTCAAAGTTATAGTGACTAATATTTGTACCGTTGCGGTATTTTTTAGTTACAATGGAGCTACAATTAAATGGTCATGATTTAAGGAAAACGTATAGCACCTTTGCATTAGTGTGGATGTTAAGTTATTAATTGTGAATTCTTCGATAATATCAAAAAACATGTATATACTTTAGGCGTTAGTTAAACATTTATTTAGAACTTAGTAGTTAAGAAAGATTTAGTAACTGATTAATTTGTGAAGTTTGATTCAACATAAATGTTCATCTTGATTAGAGTATATCTTCATTATTTTAATGCATCTGTGAATTATATAGTAGATTATAACTTGACTTACTGGTCTTAAAAGAAAATTTAAAGGCAAAGAAGTTGCCTATCTACACATCATATCACTTAGTCTAAACAACGAACAAGATGATAACTTGGCAGTCATTCAATTTAAAGAACTTAAATACTATCATGGTACAACTCGATATTCCGACATATCTGTTATGTGCAAGGTGAAAAATGATTCATGAACTGTTAAATTAATCGTCGATAAAAATAAATATAGATAAGGTATCGGTTATCGATATCCAGTATTATTAACAAGTATTTGAGCCTATGATTAAAACTCGTATATGCATATCAGAATGTCGAAATCACAATTTCAAGATCATTGTTATGAGACATATACAAAAGTTTTGAAAAATAACAGTTATTTTCGATTCGGAGGTCTTAAGATCCCTGCCTTTAATTTCGGCGCAGTGAAACCTTTCATCAAGGATGCCATTGTAGTACTAACGTTTTTCGTAGAGTTTTTATTCCGGGTCTAAAAATAAATATTGAAATGCTGAGTTTATTACGTAATGTCATAACGGAGTATTGACATGTAAAAATTTACCTGAGCTTTATTATCTGTAGAGTGTAATAATGATACATTTTCATTTTGAGAGAACAGACTTTTCATCTTACTGGGACAATTAGATCGTCTATTTGACGCATTTCGTCGTATAACTTTGGTACTGCGACTTCTATTATGAAGTGGTAATTACAAGAAAACAATGAGTATTAATTTAATCAAATATATTTGATGATATGTATTAATTCTCGTAATAACTACCTCTTGTTTGATCTTTTTGTCATATGAATTGTGTGGTTTGTTCGTGTCATTGTACTGGATAAAATAGCACCAGTGACACTGTCTAAAGCATCAGCCTAATCGTTTAGAGTAAACGTAAGGTAAATATCAGTATATACTCGTATAATTACTTATTACTTGTATTAATATAAAGTAATGAGGAACATTATAGGATAATTTTCATACCTTCATTGCTGCTTCATCACTCTTCTGAGAATCAGATGATTGGTTGTCTTCATTAATATTCTTCTGTTTGTTTCATTTTATAAGAGTTATAATACAAATTAAATACTGATGGTTGCAGGATAGAACGAACCCAAAGGGACTCTAGTATAGAAGTGAACGCGTCCTTTCTATAGTACTACAATTAAATTAGCTACATACAAACATTACTAACTTACTTTCGTTCCTTTCTCTAGCTTTAATGGATCAGTTTCCGTGGAAGATTTTCCAGAACAATTATTAATAGAAAGTGAAGATCTGGCCTTATTGCCATCATAAGTTAGTTTTTTTCTTCCACTGTATGTAGCACTAACTTCTTTGGAATCCCTTTTATCTTTAGCTCGTTTAGTGGTTTTATCTCTATAGCTAGCAGTAGAAGGTGTTTCAGCAACTGTATTTGATTTCTGGTTGTCATTATTGTCTGTGGCATGTGAACTTTCTTGACCCGTTATTCGTTTATGGCATTGTTGCTTAGCAGATTTATCATCGGAATTAGGAATATTTGTATTATTGGATTGACCGATTTGAGAAATATTATCAACGGTATCAGAAACAGGGGTCATTAAATTCGACTTCTTTGCATTACATTGTTCGTTTTGGTTGCGAATATTCTCTATTTTCATTTCTTTTACTTCATTTAATTTGTCAACCCCATCATTTTTTATCAGACTAGGATACTTTGCATTTAATTTCTGTTTTCGAGCTTGATCAGTACTTATGTTAGCGCCATTTGGACTAGCATTATCTTGGTCTTCCTCATTATCTGCTAGTGAATTTTGTACCTCACTTCTTTGTATTCTTGGCTCTTCATGGGTAGCCATCTGTGCATCGTGACGATTTTTTTTGCTACAAGATCGGGTTATTCTTCTGTCTTCCACACTCTTATCAACATTGTCGAGATTATTAACATTTTCTTTCACACTATTTTTAAGACATGACCTAGTAAATCTCCTTTTACGAACAGATTTACGGTAACTACTTGAGGTTTTAATATTATTTTCTACTTTGCTTCCGTCAAGACAAGCAGCTATTGTTTTACTATTGGATGGAGACTCACTACAATTGTCTGCTGAAGTTTTACTAGGTTGCTGATCCTTGTAGGAGCAACTTTCTTTACAATCTCTTGTTAAATGGTTGTCTACCTTAGGAATAGCCTTATCCATTTTAATGAAATCATCTCTCGCTATATTACTTATTTTCTCTAAGGGCTGTTGCACTAATGATGATTCAGCATTTGTGTGCTTCGTATTTTCCGTATCCAACGTGTTGGAGTTTGGTTGATAAGGGAAATGAGTATCGCCGGCACTATTTAACTGTGACTGTAGTGTATCTTCTAAAACGATAATACAATCTGACGTTACAGGTTTCTTATCTCTATGATTGCTGAGTTGATGTGATGCTTGCTTTCGAGCTTTCTTTCTTCTTCCCTTTCTCTTATCGGTAGGCTTCAATTTCGTAATTGATTTAAAATGACATTGATCATTTTCTGTTTCACTTGTGATGCTTGAAGAATTTTTACTTAACTGATGCTGAAATTTCGCTGTTTGAATGTTAGCAGCTTCAGAATTACTAGGGATTGCATTCGACTTCTTGATTTCAGTAACGGTTGTTGGAAAGGGTATCACATCTTCAATATTGCTGCTACCGTTACAAAGATTTGATTGATTAATTTTCTGCAGTTTATTATTCCTTAACCGTCTCTTGGTTCGTTTTTCAGTAGTTAATCCTTCAGATATATTTGTAATAGTCTTTTCGGAATGATTTTGAATTTTGCTATCGTTTCTGTTAATACGTTTTGCTTCTTGCTTACTAGTTCTTTTTGTACTGTCTTGGCAGGTTAATTCAGAATCTGATATAGATACATTATGTATCTTTCTCTTTTTAGTGATACGACTATCGTTTTGATTCAATTTTTGATTAGAGATCTCTGACTTAGATTCCAAGGGGATTTTATCGTTTTGGCTACTTTGTTGTTGTTTTATAATTTCTTGATCATCATAGCTTATAGCATTTTCTTCTTCATATGTATGCTTGCTTTGATTTTTTGAATTATGTTTTGATTTGATTTTACGAACTCTGGATTTTGTACGCTTACATCGCTGATGACCGGATTGACCTTTAATATCATGTTTAGCCCTAATTAGCGAGCTTTGTAATTCATTCTTTAATTCAAGATCAACTAAATAAGTGCAAGCGGGTTTTGAGTTAATAAACAGTAGTATGTATAATTATCAATAAATCTCAATACTTGCTCACGTCATATTCTACTGATTATAGAAACAAACGCAAAACAGACGCTATTCTACCAAGTCAATGTGGTATTAATTTTGGTAAGATATGTAAGTAAGGCGTATATACTTTAATTAATTATCGTATCAAATGGTGATTACATTACCTGGGCAACTGGATGAACGATCGAAGGATGACTGAGCCGGTTGTTGCATTAAAATTTTAGCATTAGAATTAAGATTTGGATGAACTTTAGGCTTAATTTGATTATAATCGTTATCCGTTATTGATGGAATATCCTCAGCCACCTGTTTGTTTGTACTATTAGATGTTGCGACGATTTTATTTCCTCGGTCTTGACTAATTAAATTTAATAATTTAGACGCAGCATTAGACACACTTTTGTGATAGATAGATTCTTGGCATCCTGAAGTGTGATCTTGAAGGGTAACTTGGATAGCAAAACTTTTCATTAAATTGTCATGTTGATCAATCTACAGTGCGATATTCATGTCGCATTTAGAAATGAATGTATTGACATTAATAAGCACGATTAAGAAACTGTTACATGGTGTATCATTTTATATAATTTAAGTTTTATAGAGTTCACTGTCAATCGTTCTAATCAATTATAATAATTATATAATTATTAGTAAAAAGCTTAATTTTTGATCGTCTACTGTAAGTTTACCCAAAGCCGTTATATGCATTACTTATGTGCAATAATTAATTGAACATTTGTCTCATTAATTATTAAAGGGTCCTTGACTCAATTTAATTATAGTCAAGATCACTTACAGAGTAATTTTGTTCATTTTCAAGATAAATTGAATACATTTGTCGTAGAGATTCAAGCTTTTCGTCCGCCAACTCTGCATCTTGATAGTGATGAAGCAGTCGTTCATCAAATCGAGAGATCTTTTCGTTTAAGAATTGTAGTTCTGGCCAATTATCTTCCAGGGCAATGTGCCGAGTTAATGTTACGCGAGCCATGTTATCTTTCTTGTCTAGTAATTATACTTACGTATTATTTCTGGTATATGTGTCTACTTGATCAAATAAGATTGAGATATCAGAATGTAACCGATAATAGAATATTTGTATTCTACAGTAAATACGGTTAATATAATATATATAAAATAATATATGTACAGTACGGTACAGTATACGTACAGGATAGTAGTGCAAACACAAATCGTATTCTTTCAATATATCAATAGTACCAGTATGGTTTACATCCATACGACTCATTCACTGATCGGCTTGTTAAAGTCAAAAATATAAATAAAATCCGTATTTAACTTCGACACGGTGACTCGAAGGTATGGTTAGATTATTATAGATAGAATAAGAATTATTGCTCAGATAAATAGATAAAGTACGTCATTATCAAATCTAGTAGTTGAATAATTAGAGAAACATTTTTATATTCCATTTCACAATTTACAAACTTTAGATATTAATGCAAGAAAACCAGGCAGATCTTTTTTTAACGGTAAAAGTATACTGTACGCATGCAGTACCGTAGCACCTGATGTAAAACCTACTACTACTTTTGCAAGGTTTAGGATGGGTAAATAAGCAGGTATAATTAACGCTATTACAGTATGACGAAAACATAATTTATGCTAGCTAAAAAGTATTCCTAATACTATTATGTCTATATACACTGTGCAGTACGTATATCGTACGCATAAATATATTTGATCCTATTAGTAGTTTTTAATGTCCTAACCTAAGATTGATGATAGATCATCATGGGTAAAAGGATTTTCAATTTTTCCGGTCGTTTTGGATGCTGATTGAATACGCGTTTAATCCAGTGTGACGTGTGCAACTTTCGATGAAAACGTAAACTTTCCTTTTAGATGATCAATTGGCAATTGGATAAGAAATGCTGGTCTTTGCAGTTATCACCTAGAATAAACTTCTGAAATGTTATAGTAAGATTAAGATTTTTAGTTTTATAGGTAAAAGCAACTAAAAGACATAATGCAGTGGGCAGTACTGTATTTTGTTTTAATACGCAAAGGATTTTACTCACTTTTTAATGCTCTTTATTCTATTTAAAGTTAATATTATTGAAGATATTTGAGAGGTAAAAATGTTGACGGATTCATAGGAACCTGTTGGCAGCCAGAATACTGTACTCAGTATGCACTACAGTAAATACCGCAGTACGCTTTTTAACTACAGTACTGTACTGTCCTTTACTGTACTGTATATTGACTGTACAGTACTGTACAGTACACTAAATGTACTGTACTGTACTGTATAGCAACATTGCTTACAGTACTGTACAGTACAGTACTGTAAGCAAATTAAAATACAGTACGGTAGTCCAATCATAGTACTGTAGTATTTTTACTGTACAGTACTGGACACTAAATGTTGTACTTGTGGTGAGTTGAATTTTTAAATTTTGGAAATCGAATTTGGATTGGTCAATTCCTTGGAGCATGCGTTAAATTAGAGTCACATTCTACACTACAGTACTGTACTGTACCGTACCGTATTTTTAGTTTGTTATCCATACCGGCGTCACCTAGGGTGCTAGTGATGTGGTGATCAGCGGAGTTCCTCCTCATTCCCAACTCCCTACTTACAGTACTGTACACTGTACAGTATACAGTAAGTACTGTACTGTACTATACTGTATTAACTACTGTACAGTGTACAGTACCAAGTGTTTTGCAACCTCTTTCTGACAGTACCAGTACCGTACCGTACTGTACTGTACAACCAAAGCTGGGAAAAATGTGTACTGTAGGCCGACTTTTTTGCTGGTCATTTTAACTCTAATGATCATCAGTCATCGTACGCTGTACAAGACCCTGCGGGCTTCAAATTACTGTAGCTGCCAGGTTGGTTTTGCATAGTATGGTGTATGGTTACAGCTGTAGCTTATTGTGAAATGACTGCAATAAAATGCGGCTTCCACAATTTTTGCAGCTTTCGGACGTGTGTCCACGTCCAGTGACTCCCAAGTACTACTCTTCCCGCGGCACAGACATCCAGACAACCAGATGTTCAGGATTAGGGAAGCAGTTTCGTTACCACAGTCACGGTGGAGTGGACTACATCTCAATACTATACACTACTGTACTGTACTATACAATGTGCACAATACCATAAAAGCACTTCACAAGTGTTCCTGCTGGAAAAAGCGACTAGTTACTGTAGACTGCTGTTGGCTTCTTTTGGATTCTAAACTTGATTCAAGAGTCTATAATATCCAATCATTGCTGTAAAGCCATGGTATTAGTCAATAGAAACTAACCAGCCTAGATTAATCATTAGCCAATCGACTCATCAATACGGAAAAATTAAAATTATGGATATAAACCAGGAAGGTAAAACTTCCCCTGACGATTATGATTTTGTGGATGTAACATCTCGAATGACAAGTGGTGTCGTAACGCAAGAGTTCACTAATCCAACAAGTATGGATGTAAACTCGGATCTCATTTCATTAAGGTAAATAATATTGACTAACTTTAGACTATCATTGCCAATAAGCTAGTTGCTTCATTACCTCTGCCTTAACCAATCTGATAATAAATAATAAATATTGCTGTATATCGAGCCTGGTAGAACCTGCTGTTATTCTATTGCACGTACTGCTGTTTTCATATGGTCAAAATAAAATAATGGTAATACTATTCGTAGTACTAGACGGTGTCGATATGGACAGAAGTCTACTCGGCGTAAAGTAAATCATGACATTATTTTTTTCCGCCTAAACATTTAATTGATAAGTCGCTTGCTACTCTGTTATAGTATATGCAGTTATTAGCCTACTACGTTGAAAATACGAATAGTTTGTTACCTTTCCTGGCTTGATTGGATCAATTTTTAAATGATTATCCGGGTGTATAGAATTTTACGTACGAGAGGACGTGAGTTTACAAACTACTCAAGTTTGTAACCTGTAATTAAAGGCATTATCTGTTCGGGTAATGATTCTCACATAGTAGCATGCTTTCATTCATAATAATTGAACGACGTAAAAGTTATTTATTTTAGTGCATAGATGATACTGTATGCACTCTATTGCTATGATTGTGGCACTAGCATGATTGCAAAGAAGATTTTCAATGATCTATTTGCATTTTTTATCGCTATTTTATTAAGCTATAATGGACAGTATTTATTACAGTGTCCATAAATTAATCAGGTTATTTGTACTGTTTACAACTTCAACTAGCTAGCCATAATTTAATCAGTCGTCCTACTTGCACCATAGTTGGTAAACTCGTTCAAGAATATGTTTACCATGGTGTAGCATGATAGTCTACTGTAGCACGAAAGAATTAAAAATGGAGGATTGAGTTTATCTTGTTTAGCTGGATGATGTACTCTTGAAAGTTGATACGTGATTATATAATATAATAGGCGTACAGAATTGTCGTAGCACCGTACGCGTACTTCTGTAACTGTACTGTACATGTACACAACGCCGTCTAATGTAAAGCTTTTAATATTTCATGATTACTAGCACTAATTGGCGTAACTTTGACCACATATTTAACAAATTGACTATTTTAGTAACACAATAACTTAAAGCCACTGTATTTTATAAATTGATATAGTTAAGTTATACACAGATATAAAGAAGTGCCATTATAGTATTGGTAGCTAATTTATTATTACCGGAATTATTTTCTTTTTTCGTATAAACTACTGCGTATAGTACTGTGCAGCAGTAGCACATCATCAAGAATTTTCTAAGATTTTGAGATCATCTACGATACACTTATACTCTAACATAACGAATCCAATGAAATGTCGAAATGGCAGAAGTTTCTTTATAATCGTTTCGTATTTCCCTTCTAAACATTACAGTCCTGCATTGTACGAATAAGATAATCGATATAATCCATTTTACGAATTTTAATTTTATTTATATGGAGAGGATAATTTATTGTTGTCTATTGGATAGACATGTATATCATTAGCTTGAGAGCACCTTCAATTCTGTTTAATTTATTATTACAATTGTAGAGTTTTATAGTTAACCGAGGTTGTTATATAAAAGTTGTACGTTAAGCTGCGTATTTTAAATATCTTCAAAATACCCTTGACAAATCTCTGGTTAGGGTCTCTAGTTGCACGTATTTTTCAAGCAGTACTGCTCGTGATTTTAAAAATAAGTACTTATCAAATCGTATTACTAGCGCTAATTTGACATTATCTGTGGTAGAGTATTACAACTTTGTAATGATTTGTAATTTTTGGTAACATGATAATTATTCTTAATTATGGCTTTAAAGCATCCATTTGATAACGATCTCGTCATGCCGTTAACTCATGTTATGTATGTTATGCCATACGTACATGTTAATTGAGCAGTGTCCAACTTGTAAAATTATTTATAGCCATGCATAAACTGTAGAATTGTGTACTGCAGTGAGCTGAATGAGTAATGATTTTTATAAACAAACCGCAGTCCGTTTATTAATCCTGCTATTTTTGAGAGGATTTCTGATAGAGCAAGAAGTGAGTGATTTATCTTTACTACATTAATAATGTTGTTTAGTAGATTATTCATCATATCATATAGCCATTGTAGGATTACTCGCATAGATGATATAATACTTGGAAATATCATGATATCATATGCCTTTAAGTAGCGTAGTAATATAGGATACCAAAATTGTAGAGTATTTGACAGCGATGCATGAAATACGTATTGCATACTGCAACTGATTGACATTGTTGATAGTACCATAGACCTGTAGAATCTCCTTAAGTAACATGACCATTTATAGGGACTTTGTAGCACAATGTAGACAGCTAATAATATAATTGATCATAATCATTAAACCTAACCTTTACAATACTAATAGTGACATTTGCGATTGGATTAAAAGCCTCTAATTCAATAGAGGCCATAACAGATTAGCGCATTAGTGATAACGACCCGGTGAGTTAATTGCAGTACGCATATCGCCTCTTGAGCTGATATCCGGCGAAATTTTATCTATAAAAACGTTCTATACTGGTACGCCAAAGCGATATATTCTATCTTTAAGGGTAAATAAATTAATTAATAAATTGGGCATAGCCTTTATATTCTGAGATTCGGTAAACGAGTAATAAAGTGTATTATTATCTTACGACCTCATGTTTCATTTTAAGTTGTAATTTAATTTAAACACGCCGTATTAGCGCATCTCTACTTACAAACTGACAGTATCCCTTTGCGGTTATTATTTACTATGGTTCCGCTTTTTAGAATTGGCAGTAATGTATTTATAGCTTTACTGCGGCGAATGTATGCATGCGTAAATCTGTAATTGTGTGTGCAACCATGATTTAAATCATAATGTACATCAATTATTTGAGGTGCACGTTAATAAATTTAGTAATTTAAGGCAGATTGTATATTAGTATTAGCATTCGCGTTTGTTATATTCTAATTTGCAATCATTTTTTATGACGAAAGAAGAGACACAGACTTCAAATTAGCCGACGCTGATGGTCTAGAATACAATCGGACTCCCCAAAAAATGAGAGAAAATGATTCAATACGCAAGGTTTGCTACTTTTATAGTATTAAGCGCGTGCTATTCATGTTGATAGGCATTGATTAATAATTGAATTAGAAATGTTACTGACTTCGACTGTAGTACTAAAAAATTTATATACATTCCAGGTTCGCAGTATATTTAAATATACAATGCAGTATTCAAAAATCATACTTTTATTGATATGTTTGTGCTTCATATAATCAGTACTGGGAGGAATCCCCCGAAGTCTATGGAATAAGACGGTCTGGTCGAGAAAGAAAAGAACCAACTCGTCTCCATATTGGCAATGTAAAGTCTCCAATTACGACTGCTAACCAGTCAACATGATCGTGCTTTTTATTTATCGATAATAGCTATTAGGATCAAGTGAATTGATCAAAACTAATTAGTTATTATATATGTATCGTTATCATTAGACTAGTGATAGTGAAAGTGTCACACGAACCAAACGAAAAAAATCTAATAATGGCAACAGTCATCGAGGCATGAAACGTAAAGCTAGGTATCGGGAATTATCATTATTTAAAGTATTACGAGTAGTGATCTTATATTAACTTTACATTTTAGTGATGTCGGCTCATTAATCGATCAAGGAGAGAATCTCTCTGATAGTAGCTACAGCTATTCATCTAATTCTTTGGATGATACTGATGATGATGATGATGATGATATGATGATGATGATGATGACGATGCTGATGAATACAGCCCTGCACGTCGTTCGACTAAGATTAGTAATACTTCTAGAAGTGGGAAACGTAGTTCATCAAAGTCAAAGGGAGATAGTGTATCAGACGAAGCATACAGAGCTAGTCGTATATCACAACGACGTGCTGCTGCTAATGTTAGGTAAGCTGGATAATCCTGTACGTTTTTATCCATCATCGTAAAAAATATCATCGATCTCTATATTAGTATGCGTATTATATTTTTTGTCCAAATATTGCATGTCTATTTAAGAATTGGCCTTATAATTATAGCTACAAGGAAGAATCTGAGAATGATTCAACAGGATCTGATGAACTTTTGAATATACAAGATAAAAGCAATCTTTCTGGTACTGTTGTAGATGAAGAATATGACACAATAGAAAAGGTGCTAATTCGTAAATTTTATTGTATTCAGATGTCTTCTTTTCTTCGAAGTAATATATACGCACTGTATGCTATTAATACGTTTTAATTGATATCCTGTAACGAAATTTTTTGTTAGATCTTGAAGCACAGAGTTGGCAGAATTGGTGATACAGGTGCCAATACAACATGGTATGCCCTTAAAGATAGAGATCATACCCCAACTGAGGCAAATCCAACAGATGATGACCAAACAGAGATCCAGTACTTAGTAAAATTTAAAGATTGGGCAAATATTCATAATACCTGGGAAAGTGAGCGAAGCTTAAAGGAACAAAACGTCCGCGGATTGAAAAAGTTGAATAATTATATTAAAAGAGAGAAAGAAATCGATGAGTGGTATAGAGTATATTCAGCAGCCGATTTTATATCATTAAATGCTTATTTTATAAAGTAATTTAGAAATGTACTAAGAGTACTTGGCTTTGGCTTTACTATGTTAGGAAACAAATGGTATCTCCAGAAGATTTGGAATATTTTGAATGCCAAAGACAAATGATCGATGAATTATTTTCTCAGTACACTCAAGTAGAAAGAGTTATAGGTAATTATAATGTATATTGTTCTTAGCAAATTTTCACATATAGCAATAACGTTTTGTTATAAAATTTATTCTTATAAGCTTGCCGGTTAATTAAGCAAATGACTGGTGGCAGTACCGCTGATTACTTAGTAAAATGGCAAGGATTACCATATGCTGATTGTACCTGGGAAGATGGTGATCTCATTAATCGTCATTTTCCCAATACAATTCAAGCTTATTATAAACGACAGGAAAATATTAAGATTCCGGATAAAAATTGCAAAGTAGGCGATTTCATTGAAGATTACGTGTTATCCAAAATTCTTAGGTCTTAACTACTATGTCATGTTCTTGTAATTTTCTAGGTATTGCGTAATCGTCCAAAGTTCGTCTTGTTAAAGTCACAGCCGGACTATGTGGGTAACTCTACTCATCAATTACGCGATTATCAATTAGATAGTTTGAATTGGATGATTCACGCTTGGTGCAAGTAAGTTCTAACTTGTTAAATAAATGATGTATTATTGTATATGATTTAAGTGTACATAATACAAGTTATTGAGAATCTTATTTAAGTACTGTCACTATTAATTAATTTAGGGAAAACTCAATAATTCTCGCGGATGAAATGGGCCTTGGAAAAACAATACAAGTAATATCATTTCTGTCATATTTATATCATTCTCATTCTTTGTATGGAATTTTTTTACTGGTCGTGCCATTATCTACGATGACGTCGTGGCAACGTGAATTCGAGTTATGGGCCCCAGATATTAATGTAGTAGTTTATTTGGGTGATACTAAGAGTCGTCGAATGGTAAGATGGAACATAAATGTAACAGTATTGTTACTTTACTAATGTAAAGCATTGAATATTTCCTCAAATACAGATTCGAGATTATGATTGGTATAATTCGAATAAACGCTTTAAATTTAATGCACTACTTACAACTTACGAAATTGTATTGAAGGATAAGGTAAAAAGTGTTATCAAAATTTTATTGATTTAAAAGGGTTATTAATTTTATATTACTCTTATGACAATTATATCTTATAGGATATTTTGAAATCTTTTAAGTGGGCTTGTCTTGCAGTTGATGAAGCGCATCGATTGAAAAATGATGACTCTCTTCTTTATCGTTATCTAATGGAATTTAAAACTGACCACCGTTTACTGATTACTGGGACGCCATTGCAAAATTCACTAAAGGAATTATGGTCTTTACTTCATTTTATAATGGAAAAACGGTAAAGGAATCGATACAGGCGTCAAAGTTAATATATAAGGCCTATTTTAATCAATATTCTTTCTGATTTGTTGAAAATTCTCAATATACAGTTATGATTCATGGGAAAAGTTTAAAGATAGTTTTATGAAAGATGATGGAAGTAGCTACATGTCACTGCATCAGGAACTGCAGCCTTATATTCTTAGAAGAGTTAAAAAAGATGTTGAAAAGTCACTACCCGCTAAAGTTAGTATAACAAAATATGTAACTTTATACGCTGTATGTAGCTAGATTAAATTCGAGATATCGACTATCGTATATATTAATTTTAAGGTCGAACAAATATTGCGAGTTGAAATGACAGCGATACAAAAACAGTATTATAGATGGATAATTACGCGGAATTATAAGGCTTTAAGTAAGGGCGCAAAAGGCAGCCTGGGTGGTTTCATAAATATCATGATGGAGCTTAAAAAGTGCTGCAATCATGCATCCTTAGTCAAAATGGAAGAAAAAAATAATAAGGACGCTATACAGGTACGAGTGTTTCCGTTCTTTGTCTGTGATGTGATCTTTTTCAAGTCCTACAATTCAATTTGTTTTGTTTAGTCTTTATTACGAGGTAGTGGCAAAATGATACTATTGGATAAATTACTGTGTCGGTTAAAAGAAACTGGTCATCGAGTTTTAATATTCTCCCAAATGGTCAGGATGCTGGATATTTTAGCGGAATATTTGCAAATAAAACATTTCCTATTTCAGGTAAGAGAAAAATTCTTGATGTTAAAAATTTTCGATTGATATTTTGGCAAGAGCTGTAATATGTTCGTAAATTTTTAGCGCTTAGATGGATCAATTCGTGGCGATCTCCGAAAACAAGCTCTAGATCATTTCAACGCCGATGGCTCGCAGGTATCAGATACAACTTTGTATGAGAGCTCACTTTAAAATCACAATTTTCTTATTAATATCTCCGTAAATCATGACTTTGATGATTATTAAGGATTTTTGTTTCCTGCTCTCGACTCGTGCTGGTGGACTCGGCTTAAATTTGGCTTCAGCAGATACCGTTATAATCTTTGATTCTGACTGGAATCCACAAAACGATATTCAAGCTCAATCACGAGCTCATCGAATTGGACAAAGAAAACAGGTTTGTTTATTTTATTGTTTGATATATAAAGTTGCAGTATTTTACTCATCACTACGCATCAAATGGGTACTTGAGTAGGTAAATATATATCGACTTGTGACAAAGAATAGCGTGGAAGAAGAGATTATTGAACGAGCGACTAAAAAGATGGTATTAGATCACCTGGTTATTCAGCGTATGGATACGTCTGGAAGAACAGTCCTCTCGAAATCATCTGCACCTTCGTATGTTACTATATATCCTTTCCACTGCTCTTCATGTCATTCTGTGGGAGAGATATTATAAGAATAAGCAAATTTACATTACAAAATATTATACCATAGATCTGCAAACTTTACAAAGGAAGAGGTAGATGTTATACTGAAATTTGGTGTTGAAGAATTATTTAAGGAAACTGACGGCGAGCAAGATAAAAAGCTACAGGTGAGATTCTTAATACTAATCATGGACTACCAAAAGAAGAGCTGGAGCTACGCGTCTCGTTGTAGCCTGACCACGTACAAATGTATTAATATCTAATTTTATGTTTAGTAATATGCACATACAGTATTATGCACATTACATACAATAATATATACATAAACTACAGGAAATGGATTTGGACGAAATATTACAAAGAGCCGAAACACAAAGTATTGAATCCACAAAAAATACCCCAGGAATGGATTTATTATCTAGCTTTAAGGTTATATAGGATATGATATTGTTTCTAAATATACTTGTTCTTCTGAGTTTACTCATGTACATTCTATTATATATTTACTAATCAACAGCGGTCAATTGAAATTTTATGTACAGGTCGCTAGTTTTGCAATGGAAGAAGAGCTACCTATAGATGAAGATGAAAAACAGTCAGCAAGGGATTGGAGCGATATTGTACCAAGTGATGAAATCAAAAAAATTGAAGAAGAAGAACAGCAGAGAGAGATCTTAAAGACAATTTTGAAACCTAGAAATCGTAAACCAATAAATCAAGTACGTAAATAATTGATTTTTAGTTAACTTAATATCGTGGGCTAAAATTTTGACTGGATTTTATATTAACCGACTTCACACATAAACACAGCTACAATTACGATTTGGTGGTGGGGCCTTATTGGAATCAAGTGACTCTAATAGCGATTCTGAGAAAAGGCGCGGTCACAACCGTAGATATAAGAAGCGGGCCAATCACTCCGATGATACTGATAGTGAAGCAGATGTAGGCCATGAGAAAGGGTCCAAAAAAAAGAGAGGTAGACCGCGATCCGCCGTACGGGATCTTGTATTCGGATTGACTAACACTGAACTAAGAAGGTATGAGATTGTAAATATTGTTGTCACCTATTTTGATGATAAATATCATTTATTGTATAATATGAAAACCAATAAATTTATTAATTAACCGTAGATTTTTAAGAAGCTATAAGAAGTTTGGTCATCCACTTGGGAGGTTATTGCAATTTATTATTTTTAGCGTATTTTAATGTGTTTTTATTTATATGCTTTTCAAATATCGTCTCAAAAGGATCGAGTCAATCGCTATTGATGCCGAACTTCAAGATAAATCTATGTCAGACTTAGCAAACCTAGCTAAAAGCTTACAAGAGAAATGTTCTGAAGCAGTAAGAGATTTTGAGGAAAAAGCCAGTGTTGATACTTCAGAAACAAAGGAGGCCGTAAGTGAGGGTGCTTCTGCAGATAACAAATTGGAAAGTGGAAAACATGACATCGAAGGTAAAGGAAAACCTAATTACAGTACGAATTAAAGGCAAGATCAACGAATATTTTAATTTTTTTATATTGTACTGATAGGTAAAAAGAAAGGAGCCATAGTAAGGCTAGGTGGAGTTTCCGTTAACGCATTAGCCATAGTAAGGCATCAGAATGAACTAGAACCATTATCTAAATGGATTCCATCTTCTAATGAAGAACAGAAAAAGTTTGTTTACAAAACTATTTAATGACCATAATTTTCTACTTCGTATGACTGTTAATTAAAAAATGTGCGTGTTTATATATTTAGATTTGAATTGCCATGTTTGGTCAAAGCAGTTCACTGGGATCTTTCATGGGATTCGCATGACGATGCAATGCTTTTAGTTGGCATTTTTAGACATGGCATAGGGAACTGGGAGTCAATAAAAGAAGACCCAGAATTAGGGCTAAGTGATAAGGTCGACTCTTCATTTTTTAACAGTGCCATACTTCTCAATACTATTAACAATTTTTTAATGTTTAGCCATAAAAATTAGTCATAACTGAAAATACCGTATTTAAATAATAGTTACTATGTAACTAACGGTTAGAATTAAATTTGTGATACGACTGCGTAGATCCTTCAAAGTGGAAATAGTAAACCGCAAGGGAAGCACTTACAAACAAGAACAGAATACCTTCTTAAGCTTCTGAAACATAGTGAAAGGAACAAGACTGTGGTAATTGCTCCACGGCCAAAGAAGCCCAAGTTTAAAAAGAGGAAAGAACTTAATGATAAGGCTGATATGACTAAAACTGAGGGTGATCCAAAAAATACCAAGACTTTCAAGTCACACGGAGCCTCTAATGTCAGGAGAAATAAAAAGCCGAAACTAGATATAGCATCAGATGGTTATGAGAATGTAAAGATAGAGAATTCAGTTACAGGCTCGAAAGAAAAAACCAAGCTTAAGAAAAAGGCAGCCAAAAATGAAACCGGAAGCAAGATAGAACAGCAACCGAAAGAATATAAAGAGAAGAAGAAAGTCAAGAAGAAGAAAATGGCTGGAACTGATTCTATCCTCGATAACGGGAATACGAAGAGCTTAAGCAACGATAAAAAGCTTACCAACTTGAAAATTAGCCCCAAAAAGAGGGTAATTTTCTCAGTGTTAATTATAATCGAAATTCACGGCTAACATCTACTTACTATGTCAATTAAGGTTAAGCATACCAGCGCATTAGAAAAATCTGCAGAGGATAATGCTTCACTGCCGACTTTGAAACTTGACAACGAGGCATTTGTTGCTGTAAGCGTTAGTATTTTATTGTATGCCGCAAGTAATACATATTTTTCTCAGTTTTTATTATTATATTTCTATAAGTGTAAGGAGAAAATGCGACCGGTTAAACGTGCACTCAAAGTACTAGAGCAACCAATGGAAGATATGCCTCAGGAACAACAAGTATCTCAAACGAAAGAGGTAAATTTTCGCATGAATATTAGATTGTAAATCTTGCGATCATTGAAAGAGATCTCTCTTAAAATTATCCAATACATTTTTGATGTTAGTGTCTGCTACAAATCGGTGATCATATTTCGACTGTTTGTCATGAATTCGATGCGAATGCTACAAAACTTTGGAAGAGGTATGAAAGTTATCAGTACAATAACGCTATGTTAATATTACTGCAGGTTTACTCGTTGTAAAACATTTTTTGTAGCAATCTGTGGATTTTTGTTTCCAACTTCACCTCTTTTGAAGCAAAGCAGCTACATAAGGTTTACAAACAAGCCGTCAAAGAAAGAGAAGTAAATGTATGCTTTCTGATTCTAACTTTGCACGCGATTAATATAATAGTGTCTTTGTACAGCAGTTATAGTACTGTTTCCTTTGATTAATTATTGTTATAACAAAAATTCTTATTATAACATATTTATTGTAAAGACTATGAAAAATAGGTCATATAAAGAGGAAATTGTTGGGGCTAGCCGTAAAGCTTCATCTAGGTAATTTGCTTCTCTGGGTATCAATAAATAATTTTACTAGCATCAAGATGTGAGATTATATCAGAAATTAAGTTGTCTAGTATCGATTTTTTCCGTTAATTGTTGAAAAGTATTAATGGAAGCACGACTAATTTTATTATTCATCGATATACAGATTTGTAACCCATTATTTTTAAGGCTAATTTATTTAAATTATCTAACTCTTACCATAGGTAACAGTGAGAGAATGAAAGCAAGCTGTGTGGTTAGAAAAGTATTATTTATAATCTATTGATATTTGAAGATCCTTTAAGGCTAACGCTCTGAAAGATATATCAAATATCTATAGCACTGTCATAGCTTAAGAGTTATTGCGCAGTATTCGTAAGATGATTTATATTGAGGATGGTCGTAAACTAAAAGAAGATATCTGCTCGTTAGAAACTAAGACAAATGACCGTAGTTCTTTTGAGCTATATGGGATATATAACTACCTGTGTTCAAGGGGCAGTCTCTTCATTTAAATTTGTTAGAAATCATCTTATTTCGAGCAGTAATCTTTACATGCTCGGATGATATCTGTAATACCTAAATTACTGTGATATTCAATACGTTTTAATATTAATACTGTATAAAGATCGATCTAACTTTGTATACTATTCTTGTACATAAAAAACGTATCGCGAATAGATTACATCAATTTCGAACTGTCATACGACGGATGCTATATGAAAGTTTAAACTAGGCGAATCGGATCCATCTTAATGTTGTATAACATATTGACCAAAAGTCATATAGAATTATGGGTCGCTTTTTCAATGGATTTTATGAGAGCTTCTGTGCAGTTATGACGTCATTTAAAAATAATTTATTAGCCCTTAGTAGAAACTCTTTGACTATTGCACTGTAGGATAAGGGTATATCGATCATTTGTATTTACTGTACTTGTATAAAACTGATGTACTGTAATAGGGTATGATTACTACTTCTTCGTAAAATAGCAATGACTATATTTCAGCAATCGACATCACAAATGCGATTTAATCAGGTTGTGTACAGTATGTGTGTAAGTGCACGTATATAATTGGTTCTACTCGTGCTATACCGTACATCACAGAAATTTCGCTGTTCATTTTATAATTAAAAAGGCTATATTTATATCACTATTTAATGTATTTATTGTCTGCAGTCTTCTTGGCTTACATCCTACTGTGCGAACGAATATCTGTGGTTATACTGTAGATGTAATGTATTACTCCTCGAGTTTGTTAGTGATAACAATGTATTATTACTAAGTAATAAATGTAGTGTAGTAAACAACATACCGAGTATTTACGTGAAGTATCACGAGCGCATTACTGCTACAACAGATTACTAAAATAAAATCAAATATATCTATTCTAATAGTAGAGCAAAACTGCGCTATATTTGACCAGTCCTCCTACTACTAGGTCAGGTTACTGAACCGTTCAATTGTTGTTACTGTATGATCTACGCTATATTGTAAAACACCGCTTGATGTTCGTAAATCTTGAAAATTGAGGAATTTATTGAAATCTTCTACTGTAGTGTACACAGTACAGTACAGTATAGCAGCTTTCAGTATGAACGAGTACTCTGTGTTAAGCTTGAGAAGAAGCTTCCTTTCGTAGGCATACAGTAAGATAAATATGGGCCTTACAGTAACGTTTACTGCACTGAATTAAGTATAAGAAAATGTAGTTTACAGTATGAGGGAATAACCAGAGTACGTGAACAGGTGATTAATGTTTATTGACGTCGGGTACACTCAGTCTCAGTGGCATGAAGTGCGTAAAAGTGGGTACGCGCGCCTAGGGTATCAGCGACTATAATAACGAGAGTCCTTAAATGAAATGAAAACGCAACCCGAATAGATGATTGATTTTTGAACCCGAAATGAGTGGAATCGCTATACAAATACTGTATCACTTGAGAAATTCTTATTGTACTAAAAGGAAAGAAAGAAGGACGGAAAGCGGCCGTCAGCGTAAAATAATATGGAGGCCTATTCTTTTTTCCGCTCATTCTAATATACGGTACCAATGAAACAGTATATCATACTGCATAAAACCAACTTAGCGTCACTTTATGTCCTTCTTCCTTTTCTTTCTTTTTGTAGTCGCTGATAATAATAAGATAAGATAATAATGTTATGTACTGTAGTCAGGGGCCGCAAGGTATGATGGTCAAATAAGTTCAGCCAATCATAGCATTCCATGTAGCGCGTTCCTAACATGTCACGAGGTTACAAAAGTGGTTGACATTTGACAATGATGCAGAGCGTTGAGTTTAGTCTAGTCTGCAGTACAGTACAGTACAGTAGTCTAATAATACTGTAGTGTGCACACAGTACAGTACTGTACTGTACAGTGTTGAAGACTAGACACTACTAATACAGTACTGTACAGGACAGTAAGTGAAGACAGCCAAAAGAAGTACTGTACACAGTACTGTACATAGTACTGATACAGTATGTACTGTACACTGTACAGTACTGTATGGTAATGGCACGAGACAACATTTGGCGTTAGCTTGTAACACGTTGCCACGTCTGCGTCGTACAGAGCCTTCAGTTACGGCCAGGACTTTCTAGTAGTCCCTGGTACGGCACGGCACACTTCGCCGGTACAGTACTGTACCATAAAGAGTACACTTGTACTGTGACGTGACGTGTACAAATGAAAAGCAGTACTGATAAACTTTTGCCTTGCGTACTGTAAAGCCACTTACTCCTCGCGGATTTAGTTTCATCTTCTAGGCCAGCTTAAAGTTGATTAAGCTAGTAAAATCTTTCGTCTATCGAAATTAGACTTAATTAACAGTAATTTTCAAGATGTTACGTTTTATAACTCTGGCGTGCCTTGTATTCGTTACTCTGGCAGCAGCCAGTGATGTTATTGAATTAAAGACAAGCAATTTTAACTCTGTGATTGCTCAACAAGATATCACTCTGGTCGAATTTTATGCTCCATGGTAAGTTAAGTTACCGTCTAACTTATTAAGACTGTTAGACTGTTAACCACTGTTAAAACTGAATACAGTATATATCAAATGGCATTGATGCTATTATCTCATACTGTTTTAACAAAATTATAAAATAACGGAATGCAATATGCAGTATAGATTCTGTACATTTAAGGATCAGTTCTCGATTTCTTACTGTGTGCGATGCTCATAAATCAAGTCTTCAGTTTGATCCGTCTTGCAATGTAGTTCTACTGAACATACACGTAAATTACAATTATACGCGTATCTTCAACTTAGCGGCGCTTATCCTGGATATATTACATACTGTATGATTCAGTTTTCGTTCCAGTTGCGTAAATTATGACAGTCATCATACATAACTTTACGCAACAAGAATAAAATTAACAAAGTGATCAGAATTGCCCTCATAGTGAAAAATTACTGTACTATGTTTGCAGCCATCCTCTACCATGCCTGTTAATCATAATTATTAATAATTAATAATGATCTGAATGTTGCAACTAGGAGTTAGAATATTGAGAATATCATTACTCAGATTAATAACCTAGGTTAATACAGTAATTGCCTTGTACTGGATAGCTACTAAATGTCTTACAATGTACTGTACAGTACATCTCCACTCAGTAGCGCATAGACTTCGAGATTTACTGTACTGTACAGTAGAAATCCATGGTATACGTGTAGAAACCATAGAGTTAAGAAAAAAACCCAAAGGTTTTTTCTCTTAACTCTATGGTAGAAACGTATCATACGTATAAACTAGTTAGAGACAAGGACTACTGCAATAGAAGACCTTGATAGAGATAATTATAATTATAATTATATAACGATCCAGTTGGTGATGGTTAATGCTCCAGACTTTCACTCTTTCAGTATCGCAACACAAACATTAATCTAAAAGTGACGACAAGTACGGTATTTACTCAAGTGACACTGTTGTCCCTTATTACCATCATATTATTCATGTCAGGTGCTAGAGTACAGAAATGAAGGTGAACAATCGCTCAGTGAGTTGCCCTCTCTGGACAATGAGTGTATTGAAGTGTCACATTTAGCAATCCATCAGTAAACTGTTATTGCAGCCCCTACAATAAAGTTCCGTCTAGCAAATGTATTTGTTCTTTCCCGACTGAGACATTAATTAATTACGTATATCATAACTTCAGTTAAAGAATTCATTAGTTGCCTGCTGAAATTACAGTATGCATAGTAGCTATTACGTGGTTTTGTAGTGTAAGTTTCATATTGTGATCGATTTCGCTGTAATCTGCTGAGACTTGTCTTATTGCAAATCTAAATTCAAAAATTGGTGATTGGCTTACGCTGTCCTTTGAATTTTTCGTATTTTCAAGCCAAGAGTTGCGATACCATACATACGTAGTATGCTGTATTCATTCCTTATCCTTACCAACTTATTTTGTATTGAAATCAAGCTGTGACGAGAGCTTGGTAGAGAGTTTACTAAAATTTACATTTTGACTGCATGCAGTGACATGACCGAGTAATTTACTGCAATTACTGTACACTAGTCACAGATATCAAAGCACACTTAATACGTATAGAAGAATTAAATACTGATAATTGAATACTATCCGTACTTAAACTATACTTTTCTTAGGCTGTATCCTTGAATGAAATTGTGATTGATTATACTATTATTCATTTTCTAATAGGTGCGGCCATTGTAAGAATCTTGCTCCTCAGTATGAAAGTGCTGCTACAGAATTAAAGAGGAATGATCCTCCGGTACCTTTGGCTAAGGTCTGTAGGCAGAGTAAGAAAAAATTATATCATTCGTAATTATTGGGGCCTTTGCATAGGAGCGCAGCCTTGCTCGCATATTGTAATGGTCAGAATTTTTTGGTTCATGCACAATTTTCCTCTCCCATTTATGATATGATTTACCGCTCCGTAACATTTATAACCAACCCCAGATACGAGTATACTGCATCTCTGAATGAGAATGAAGGCTAATTAGAAAGATGTTACAGTGTAATAACGTCAATTCTGTTCCTTATATTCCATCGAATTTTTCAGTCTTTTACGGCAGTATTAGTATACGTTATTCGACAGCTCGTTATCGAAGACAATTCGTAACATTTTATTTCTAATATCTCTATTAATTATTGGAACATCGGTGCATCGGTAGCCAAAGATGATTAAATTATATCAAATCTTTCTGCTTTAAATAATAATTTTATTCGCGATTCCATATGATGAATTTGCAACCGTTTCAGTCAACATACATGCTGGTGAATAATGCATTGATATGAAACGGTTACAAATTGTTTACAGAATTTGTACTGTATCGGTAACTATTTGACCGTTTTAATCAAATCTGTTTACGAAGTGAAGACATGAATAGTGTAATAACATAATATATATGACATATATACATGTATGTGTGCATCCTAGATTGTGGTTGTTTATTTCTTAAATCATAATTCAGCAGTGCTCGTATAGAAGTACCGTCTGTATCTCACTCCTGTATGCATTTCCTTTATACATATTGTGGTAATATAACTTACTGGTAATATTATATTTATGCTATAGTCTAATAACACTTTGCTTGACTTCTCCTTCGCACCCTTTCCGTCTCTTAGTATATCTTTTTCATGTTCTCGAGGCATTCAAAGCAGTTTATTTTTGATTTAGCGTCGAGAAATTCACTGATTAAATTCCAATCACAATTTCAACAGGTTGATTGTACCGCTGAAAGTGATCTATGTGGCAAATATGGAGTTAGCGGGTATCCAACTTTGAAAATCTTTCGCAATGGAGCCCTATCAGCCGATTATAACGGCCCAAGAGAAGCAAGTAAGAATTCTGTAGTGTTTAAAATTAAGGTTATCTTATTGCATATATTTGTTTTATTGAAGACAGTGAGTAGTTTGTAATTATTGGCAGAATTTGTTTATGAATAATTTTAAGGAAAATTTATATTCTTAATTTAGAGGGAATTATTTCATATATGCAAAAGCAGGCAGGACCCAGCTCCAAATGTAAGTCCTAGTCAATTTAAAGTAGAAAATTAAAAAGAGTTAACAATAAATTGTGACTACAAATGAGATGAAACATGATTTTTCTCACTAGATTTATAAGTATGGGGTATTTTGAATGATTAAACTGATAGTGTTATTTTAATTTTAATTTGTTTAGCAATTAAGACTGATGAACAGTTGACTGCCTACTTGAAGAAATCTACAGTTGCAACTTTTGTTGGTTAGTTTTACGTATTTTTTGATTGAGCTGCGTGCGCAATAAGCGTTAACGGAATAACGGTTCTATACGTGTAATAGGTTTTTTCGCTCAAGAAGATGATCTTTCCAAGGCTTTCTTAAAGTCTGCAAATAGTATGCGTGATACCCATCGTTTTGCACATACTTCGGAAACTGAATTGATGGATAAATACGGCTACAGAAGGTAGATTCGGAAATTATCAAGATACAAGGATGAAGAATTATCATACTAGTGTTCTAATTAATATTCGATCTATTACGCATTACTATAGCGCTGTAGTTCTCTTCCGTTCTCCATTGTTAAAGTCTAAATTTGAAGAACAAAGGGTGAAATACAGTGGAGCAGCGAGTGTTGATGATTTGAAAGATTTTTATCGAAAGAATAGGTAATTCCTTTAAGCTGTTAATCCGTTACTTTCAATAAATTTATAACATTGCATGTGATGTTTTTCTCAATTTAGCTTAGGGTTAGCTGGGGTAATGACTGACAATAATAAAGACCAATTTGAAAAGCCCCTTGTTATCGCATTCTATGACGTAGATTACGTAAAAAATCCTAAAGGTAATGTTAACATAATTTTTATGTTTTGACGTTATTGTAGAGAGTGCTAACGTATCGCACTTAAATTCTGTAGGTACAAATTACTACAGAAATAGGTAAGTTTAAACTATGACTGATATTTTTTTTATCGTTTAAACAATTCTTTTTTCACTCAATCTTCAGATATACAGTAAATGCTAGGTTAAATTGCTCCTTGTTTCATTAATAGGATCATGAAAATTGCTAAAGAAATGTCCGCAGGGGGAGTTAAGCTAAACTATGCTATTGCCAATAAGGATGAATTTCCGCAAGATATCGAACAATTCGGTGCTTCCTCAAGTGATGATATGGTAATTGGTGTTAGAGACGAAAGTGGAAAAAAGTTTGCTATGTCAGATTCATTCTCGTGAGTAGCAAGCTTTATGCTATTGTAGAATAAGTAGCAGATATTCTGAATGTAGTAATAAATAACTGGAATACTTTACTAAACATTTCAAATTTAGCATGGAAAACTTTAAGGAATTTTTAACAAAATATTCAAATGGCGAATTGAAACCATACTTAAAATCAGAGCCAGTACCTGCTTCCAATGACGGCCCAGTTAAGGTATGTATATGAATCCGTAAATCTTATTAATAAAACATCATGTTTCTTCTTGTGAGATCCGCATACGATAGTAACAGTACTATATTCACAACGTACGCTCTATACTAAATCAACAGGTAGTGGTGGCGTCAAACTTTGATGAAATTGTTAACGACCCAAACAAAGATGTTTTGATTGAATTTTACGCTCCTTGGTGTGGTCACTGCAAAACTCTTGCACCAAAATACGAAGAACTTGGCAAAAAGGCATGACTCAAATATATACAGTCTGTTGTAACTTGCGTAGCTGAATAAATTTTATTTCATATTTTAAACTTTGCTTAGTTCGACGCAAATGCTTATAAATTTCTTTATTTAACAGCTTTCTGGAAACGATCATATCGTAATTGCTAAAATGGATGCTACTGCTAATGATGTTCCATCATCGTACGATGTCCAGGGGTAGGCTTTGTAATTGATACACACCTTCATTGTACTGTAGCAAATAAATGATATTTACCTTCATATTTATTTTCATATTCAGATTTCCAACTATTTACTGGGCTCCAGCCAATAATAAAAAATCTCCCGCTCGTTATGAGGTAGGTTTACATATTCTTTTATGCTTGCGCAATTTATATCAATTCATAGATCTTAGCATGTCTATAGGTTGTATCTATGGTACGTGTAAACAATATTTCGATTATCTAATTATCTTTAGGGTGGACGTGAAGTTTCCGATTTCGTTGACTACATTAAGCAACGATCTACATCTACTGTGAAGCTTGGCAAGAAAAAGAAGAAGTCAGAATTATAAGAACTCGGCTAATTAAGTCTATGAGATGTATTGATTCTTTCATTTAGTTACGTATTTTTTTCTCCTTTCATTGTAATCGACGTAAAATGACTCCAGCTCGTGATTATACCCTCTTGGTAGATAATTGTGACCGAAATTATCAATAGTAAAACATTTTGTAATGTGGCCTTTCTAACTTTATTGTTATTAGAAAATTCAGGAATAAAAGAATTTAAAATTATATTTAAAAATGTAACTGTGTATGTACAAAGAGGACAACTCCGAATAGTATGACGTGTGTGTGGCTGCATGATATTTGTAGGGTGTACGTGTGATATAACTATAACATAATAATGCATGATGTAAGATTGGTAAATTTTGGATTGCCTAAGACGTAAAGTTGCTAAATCATTTTCGTTATATCGCTGAGATATGATGTACTTAATGATCTGAATAAATCAATTACATCAACACTCAGTATCCTTCCAATGAAGTATTACATTACCTTGTTCACTTTTTCATAATTAAATAACGAAGCAAAGTTTTAGTTATTATTTATCTAAACGTATTTCTAAATATCAGATACGTTAAGACCTGTTCAATAATATTTATTCATCATCAGTTAGTATCGTACAATTGTAAAATTAATTAAATACGGGCGAATGACTTTAGTATCTAATTGCATACTTTTGTTACGGCATAGTATACAAGAATGTATGTTTCGGTATGACTGATATACTGTATAATGTACAGGTATTTACTATTTCGTAATTTATTTCAGAATACTTAAATAGCTTACGTACGCCTGGTTAAGGCTCCCTTTCTACTGTATGAGTCGTACAATATACTATTTGAATGCGATGGTAGCTTCGTCTTATCTATAATACTACGCTATATGGAACTTTCCTCGAAGGTAATATAGCTAGGTCTAACCCATTCTATATTTTGTTTCTGCACTGTGCAATGTTCAGCATACGTACATACTTAAGTTATGCCGTATATTGACAATATCAGTGAACTACATCGTTCAATAAATATAATTTTATGATGCCCAGGTTAAGAAGGAGCAGTAGTGTGGTCACAGATAACATACAGCGACATTTCGGCTATATTGTACATCAAGGGTAGTAGCTATAGATACGTTTAGCTACTTAGTCGTATATACTTTTCGGGCGCAACATCTACATTTTTACTTAGCAAATAATAAAATTACTTTAAGCTAAATACAAGAAGATTAAAGCCAATAATTGATGTCATAAAATTTATAAGTCTAAAGTTTTTTATACACGCATTTGCAGTTTTAAAACTTCATTCCTTAATATAGCAATGTTAATAAATATTTGTACTCAGGTCAGTCAATAAGAACTATGGCACACTGATATTTTTACTGACTAAAACCGAAATCTCAGCAAAAACTAAGAATTAACTACTTAAAGTTAATCTTATTAATCTACCAATACTTTACTAGTTTGCAATTCAATTTTGAAATGAATACTGTAATTACTAACTATAATATTTGCTATTTATGTTTGGCTATTATAGTATAATAGGTAACTTGACTTTTTGAAGTGAAAGGTGTCTCTTTTACAGTCTTTATATATGATGAATGTTAAATACCCATACCAGCATAGTTGAAATCATTTGTGAATGTATCTGGTAACTCTGTTGAGTTTTAAATTAATATTACATAACCAATCTGGATACTGGCCTTAAATTATAATTATTAACCGATATTATAAGGTAAGAAGTATCGTCAAAATCATGTACTTCATCTATACGATTTGGTGCAATTATTTCGACGATGTTATTGCATTAATGCAGGTAATTTAAATTGTTCAGATTCGGTACGTTAATTACCATGATCGAAACAAATGATAGTTAATGACTTAAAATTGAATCCTGAAATAGCTATCAAATGTTCCATATACGTGTACCCATACTTTGAATTACCAAAAAAATGTTGCAACTACTCCAATATAGGTCTAACGATGTAGCTTATGCCAAATAGCTGATTGTCTATGGGGTGAATTTATGACATCATACCAATGTTCCCTTTCTAGACCTTTTCTTGACAAGCTCAATACTACTTGACCAATGTTATTGCTTCGCATGAATCGATCATAGCAAGCTAATACTATAATTGTAGTAGTTCGTTCCAGCTGTTGTGTTTCAATTTTTACTGCAAACTGTTGATTAAAAACTGGATTCAACGAATTTCTGATAATACGAGTTTTCTTCTTACACAATCTTCTACCATCACATAATACGTAAATCTTGACGTAAGTATCTATCGCAGATTTGGGGAAAGCAGCGTCATTACATTAAGTTAGTAGTGAAAGCAATAATTATATGTAGAAATGAACAGCAAATTTAGTAACTTAGGTCATTGTAAACGCTTAAAGTGAAGACATCACTGTTTTGTAGGTCGGGTGATGGATTACGGCTAATTAGCAAAATTACGGTACTACCATTCAAATAAATATTGTTACAGTATGTTAAGATAGATTCTTGTCATAATAAATTAGGCATATAAATATTTATTGCTTAAAATAATCGTTAAAATAAAAATCATTTTATTGACTCACTTTGTTCCCCCCCCCCAAAAATTAAAAAAAAGATAATCTTAGCGGGGTAAAATGGGAAGTGTTATAATTTATCATCAGAGAAAGTCGTATGAGCTTACCTGCTGCATTGGTGGCAGTTGAAGGTGGCAGATTGTGAGCCTTTAAAATTGTAATTAAAATATGCCCAGACACAGTCTGATTTAATAAAGCAATGCAAATTTCTCCACAATCACGTTGTAGCTAAACCATATAATAAAGCGAATCAAGATTAGAATTTCATTTCAATTTATAGTTATACTAATACTGTATGAAAAGTATTATTCTGTGCATATAATATTTTCTATTTAGATTTATAATTTAGTTTACCAAATGGTACTTTTTGGTTCTTAAATTGTAGGACGATATGGTACCACGCAACTTATTATTATCATTTAACGGAATAAAAACCTCTCCAATTAGATCATGCTTCAGAAAGTGATCAAAATCGTATACCGCAACGTAAAGTATTGAACGATTTAGGACATCAAGCGAAACGCGCCGCAAAATGAGAGTTTGATTAAACTGAGGATTAAATGTTTTACGTTTAACTTGGCTACGCTGCTTATGCTTTCTACCAGGTAGTAAGCTAATCTTAACGTAAGGATTAATGGTATCTTTTCCATCGTTTTGTTTAGCTTGCAATCTTGTTGCTTTAATTACAGTTACGCGTAGTTGATTATGCAATGAGTTATAAATAACAGATAATTCTATCGTTCCTACATCTATTCGACCAGAATCGTGATCGAAGTCACTCATTTCTTGTTCTATCTCGTCAACCGATGATAAATTGCTTGAATTGGCTTTAAAGGAGGAATCAAATACGCTTGGATGGGATTTTTTGTCTTTATTATATTGAACTTGAGTGGAAGACCTTGTAAATTTGTTGGTCGATGGGCTTTCGTTGCAGCTGATTGAATGATTAAATACTTGCTGCGGAATATTCTGAGATTGGCTTAATTTAATGACTTCATAATCACTAACAGAAGTCTTGAATTTTGACGACTGTAAGCTTTTACATTCTTTGTGCTTATTTCCTCGTCGTACTTTGTGAGTTTGAATATAATCTGCACTTTTACTGCGATATCTAGATTGATCTAGTGGTGATATGGTTTGATTTGATCTTGAAATTGGCTGAGCTCTGACTACGGTATAGCCCACAGCCGGTAATGGATAAGAATTATTAACAAATTGGACACTTGATTCGGACGGTCTATTAGTGACACTTCGTTCGTAAGAGAGAATATCTTGTAATTTTGAGGATGGTTGTGTTGTAGGATCGTTTACTGCCATTTTGGTATTCCTATCTCTTTGGCCACTATTTCGATCGGCATAGCTTACATCAATGCAATTAGTTTTAACTCGTTTTAGTATAACAGACGGAGTAGAAGGTTGCTGCTGTTGATGGTAAGTTTTCAAGTCGGGAACAGTTTCGACGTGTGCCAAGGCGTTGTTTCTCCAACAGCAGTAGCCCTTAATATACATAATATACAAAGCAATGGCTATAACCAAAATTGTTACCATGACGGCTGTAATTGGAATAGCAACTAAGCAGGAATTAAAATAAGATTTAGCAAAAGAGATAAGGTTTGATGTTATAAAATCATACTTTGTCTAAATTTCGCTATCATACTAATATAATCTGTAACTTAGGGTAAAAAAAACAAATTTGTAACATGGATCAAGGTGATCTATTACCTTCAAGAAAAATCTTTTCCATTGAAGTTTAGTTGATGAAATGGAGTGATATAACAATCAAACGTGTACTTTTAATCACTTAAAATTATTTAGTACTATTAGCACTACAGTATATCATTCAATTTTTATTTATAGAATTATATTTTATTGTAGTTGGACTTTAATGCCTTGTTTTGAAGATGACTTTATGTTCAATTATGTATGGACAGGTATAGCTTCTTTCTGAGAAACAGCCTTGTTGTTATGAATTATGTAATTACTATAATGTGATTTAGCTTAAGACGTCAGCAACTGAACGTGAGGGAATTAAATAATAGTTATTCGTCGTGATAATAAATCAGCATAGGTGATGAAAATGTCATTTTATTATTTTCTGCTATAGTAGTTGAAATATCATTGGTAAGAATATTATTACACCTTTGTTGTTGATCTTTTTTATTTCTACAAGCTTCATCTTTCAGATCGTGAAAGCCTTGATATACTGCAGATTCATCAGTAATTATTTCCATAATATCTAAATACAGTACTTAACAATATAAGCAACACCAATACAGAAATTTATGTCAAATTTTAAGAATGAGATTGAAGTTATTGATAATTTCAGTAATTGAAATTATATAAAATACACATCAACAAGGCTCATTAAAATATCATAAACAGTACGTACAAATCATTAAAATATTGTTGTTAAATCAGCAGCATTTGCATAGTTTAAGCATTATCTTCTTCCTCAATGGTATAAAAATATCAAATACTGTGGAAGATACAAAGCTGATTGCAGTTCCAACATACAACATATTATGTGGGTTAGCTAAAAAGAGACGAAGTATTCAATTCGTTCATTACAACAATTGTGAAATTGTAGCAGCGTCCAGCAACAACTACTATTGCTATGTATTTTTCACATACTTAAAAGTAGACTTTGTTGGAAATAAATAAATTTCATGTTGTCGTTTTCGCATTAAGAGTGACAGTAGATTTTAGCGTAAATAAAGTATCTATCTTTGATGTACAGGAGTGTTACAAGATAGATATTGAAATAGTATGATTAATAGAAAGTTTTAGTGGTACACATTGCACGCATACTGTATAGCTCATGTTTGAATCTAACGCGAATAAAAATTTTATCGTAAATATTCTTGGTAATTTTAATTAAAGTCGTCTAGTTTTTTTAGGCCTACAGCCATTATGTGGAATGGGAGTGACATCCGTGATTGATATAACTTCTAGTCCGCCCATTTGTAAGCCTTGCAAGGAAGACTGAAATGTTCAATTTTGTCCGGCAGAAGTTGAAGTTGTGTATGGTAAGACAACCATGTTATATAAAATAGAAATGCTTGTATTAGCTTAAGGCTTAGGCAATCGTGATCTTACGAACTTTCGGGTCGATCAAAAAGTATAAAATTCTTAGCTTAAGATACTACATTCTGAGCTTATAATAATTCAGGATAGAAAATAAGACTTTATATTAATTTAATGTGGTACCTCACGGCCAGGCCCCATTCCTTTGACTTTAACCCTCACTTTATTAATTCCTTTTCTAATGGCTTTCTATTATATTGCAATACAAGTATGCGCAACGAAGTTAGAAGTCCAGAAGGCTTTTTGAGTATAAACATCACATTACAATTTTGTAAGGTTACATTAATGATATGTATTCATAAATTCAAAAGTTTTTTTAACCTTAGCAGCAGCTTCACCAGCGGATTGACCGGCATAAGTAGTACTCCGTTTTGCATTTTTGAAGCCTTCGGTACCCTAATTGAGTTCAGTAATCGATTGGTAATAACAATCGATGGGTTAAGCGATGCGTGAGAAAGGAATTAAAATATTCGTATTCGCATGTTTGACTAGCTCACAGTATAACGACAGTTTTAAAAATATTCAGATTAAGTGAGAAAATGAATTACAATAATGTAATTTGTGTTGTAACAGCTACGTGATATAATATAAGCTAATCTACAGTTGCCTATCTTACCCCAGAGGCCCAGTTAATGGTTTTACCTATAGGTAATTCAATTTTTACAAATGAATTCATTTTCAATCAAGTAATCTTTCAATTATAATCACTCTTTATTTATAGTATTACCTTTCATATCTGTTATCGTTATAATGGTATTATTATAACTGGCTTTAACATGAGCAATTGGTAAATTTTTGAATTCTGGATCTAATATTTGCAAGCTTTCTACATCCGGATGGGAACTATAAGCTCTAAATGGTATTGATAAGTATATATATACGAGTACGTATATAAGTTTGTAGTTGGCATTGCGAGGCGTGATGAAGGATCCAGCTAATCAGCTTTTTATCTGTTGTAAACTAGAAACTAACCTGACAGGAGTGAGATTTCTCGCTACCATAGCACGTGTAAATAATAATGCTGAAGTTATTGGTAGTCTAATTGCACACTTACAACGACAAAATGCTAAAACAAACATAAGAAAACAGAATTTTTAACAATTTCGGTTAGACATCTACATATCCTAGTGTTCACTAGGTCAATTAATTTATGAGAGTACCAATGTGCTGCACTATACTCGTATTGCTGTCAATATCCAACAAGTATCGCTTATTCTTGGTGTAAAATACCGGATCAACAGTAATATCCAACTCGTACAATTTTTATCGACTTTTATAGTATTTTCGTACTGTTGATAGAACTATGAGAGTATCAATTCGTCGCCATTCATCAATCATAATGGAAAGTCAATGAAAATTGGTTGTCCAAAGCTTACTTAGTGGTCGCTTTTCTACCTACTGTAGTTATAGAGCCGACATCAGTAAGAGTAAGAGCTGGATCGTAAAGGCACCTTGCCTACTGCTTTGTTGCAATCTTGACTTAAAGATTATAAAACTGTAGGAGTTGGATATTACAGTTGATTCAAAGTACCTATTAAGTATTGCTCAAGCTAAACAACCAGTGAAATTTAATTTGTTTAAAATCGTCATCATGCATCTTACCCAAATTAATCAATGCCATGATGGCGCAGAGCTGCAGCTGACAACGGTCGTGGTACCTTGTGCATAGACTACTGGATAGCGTCTAGTAGATATCTGTACTACTACAGTATGTGTCCAGTGCCTTTTCAGATACAGTTCATAGTACACAGTATAACAGGTTCTCGCAGTACGGTCGTGTGTAAAAACTTTGAATATGCCAAATATAATATTATAACTGTACTCTACAGTACAGTACAGTAGGTTCTACAGTACAGCAGTATACTGTACACTGTAGAGTGTACACTGTACAGTACAGAATCCACACAGCACGGTACTGTACAGTACTACTGTACTGTATACTGTACTGTATACTGTACTGTACACTGTACTTTAGTATACAGTACAGTACTGTACAGCACTGTACAGTATGTTAAGCGATAGCTAATGTTTATGCTTAAGCTCTACTGGCATTTATACCAGTTCCGAAGCAAAAGGTTGCCTAAAAACAAATTCTAAATCAAATAGTCCATCGTATTCCTTAAAGAAACAAAGTATGGCACGAAAGTTTGTCCTTCTGCTATTCAGCGTTGTTATTGGCTTCCTTTATACTATTAATGTGCACGGTCTGGATAATGGTCTTGCCTTAACACCACCAAGTAATCGTATAGGAAAATAGACAATTAGACAGTAAAATGTAAATAAGGCTTATCAGGATCGATTTAATTGAACCCCCAAATCCACTTGATGTATAGAATCTGAAATTCTATGATCTTGTTCACCTTAGTGGATAAATAATGATTATAATTTTCTATAGTATATTTGAAACTTTATTAAAACCATGAGAATGTCTTAAATATTACAATTACAATGATATTTTCTTTAGTGGGATGGCTAGCTTGGGAAAGATTTCGTTGTAATATCGATTGTAAGAATAATCCTGACAATTGCATCAGGTTTGCTATTACTTTATTTTGACGTCATTCATTGCAATGGTTGAACTCTTATCTGATATAATTAATTATCCTACTATCTACTTGACCATGGTAAGCTTATGCAAGATACTCTTGGCTAACAGTCATACTAATCGTAGAGCTTACTCATTTACTTGTAGTCTATTTTATGTGCTTGCTTATCATATAACACATTGTTTATCAACTTTGCATCAATCTTACCATTGATCTAATCTATGTACGTACCTTGTAATTAATTTATATTCACGATCAAAGTCAAAAGCTATTTACTGATATGGCCGATCACTTAGCCAAGGATGGATATCGTGATGTCGGCTACAACTACATCAATGTAGATGTAAGGAAAATAAACTCTGTTAATACCAAAATCAAAGACTGTTAGACTTTGCTTACAACGACATTTTATCCTTTCATCCATTTACCTAACTACAGTGCAGTATTCATTGGATACTGTATTTACGACAAAATAATAATAAAGAAATGGATTTGTTGATACATTTTAAAGGATTGCTGGATGGCTAAGAAAAGAAATAAAAATGGCCGATTATATGCAGATAAAGAGAGGTTCCCCAAAGGGATCAAATATTTAGCTGAATATGTTAGTGAAAGAACTTTTACATTTTTTATATTTGTTATTTGAAAGCTATGCAGTCCATAAACACAGTAGACTGATACGCAATTAAACTTAATTTCATGTAAAGAATACTGGAACAAGTTAAATATTCTCTCTTGATTAATTGCTATACCTATACAATAATTGACAGATGCATAAAAGAGGCTTAAAATTAGGAATCTATGGCGGTAAGTCGTAGATGATTAACTGATTATTAATTATTGAGACTGACAGTAAACTAATACTCGTGATTAGATGATCACTACAGTAGGTTAACTATGCCTCTTTGTATTCGCAGATTTTGGCACAAAAACTTGTGGTGGTTACCCTGGTAGTGAATTTCATTTACAAACAGATGCGGAAGTATGTTCATAAATATTTTCATTTGGTATATACCAGGCTAGAGCGAACAAAGTGATACCGTATACGTATTTGAGTTCCCTCCTACGGCACTCTCATGTTTTTATTTCTTAGTTTTCAACTAAAGGATATCACGCTATTTCTTTTTATTAGACATTCGCTAATTGGAAGGTTGACTCTTTGAAGCTAGATGGATGTAACAGTAATACTTCCGATTATAAAAAGGGTTATCCTGCAATGGGTCATTATTTAAATAAAACTGGACGTCCAATCCTCTACTCTTGCAGTTGGCCTGCTTACCTAAATCCATCAAAGGTACATTACTATGCTGAGTAATGACGAAGTATAGATTATAAACAAGCAAGTAAAGTAGAATATTGTGTATGACATTAGTGCCTCTGTATTTAACCTGCTAACAATCGTTAAACTCTGTAGGTTAATTATACCATTATTGCGAAAGCTTGTAATCTTTGGCGGAATTATGGCGATATTCAGGTAAAAGTTGTATAAGAGGGACATTCTGCCCAGCTAACAATAAAGACTTTATTTACAATATCAATTCTAGGACTCCTGGGATAGCATACTAAGTATCGTTGATTTTTATGGTAATAACAATAAAGTATTAAGTGCAGCTCAAGGACCGGGTCATTGGAATGATCCTGATCAGGTATATAGATACATAAAACTTCAAAGACTACGTTGCACTTGAGTGGATAATGAGCTTGTATTACTATTTCTTTTATAAAAACGAACTTTTCTCTACATTGTGATACGTTTAGTAGTCTATTCACCATTCTATTTATGCTGACTTTTAATACATTTTTATTTACAAGTTAATTGTTGGAGACTTTTCTTTAAGCTACGAACAGTCTAAAAGTCAGTTTGCTTTATGGAGTATCTTTGGAGCTGTAAGCATTATCTGCAATAATATATATATATAAGAAGGTACTTAGAATATGACTAATAGTGAATATAAATAATTCTCACTAGCCTCTCTATATGTCCAACGATCTAAGAAAAATTCCTACTTGGGCTAAAGACATTCTCCAAAATAGGTCATTGTAGAAATCGTGAATTTGTTCTATTGTCAAGTCACTATTCTAACGATTTGACATCAATATATATGGAATGTTATAGAGAAGTTATCGCTGTCAATCAGGATAAACTTGGATTAATGGGAAAAAGAATTGTTTATGTACGTGCACGTGATAAATTTGAATGAACTTCAATAAAAGATTGTATAAATAACTAGCTTTTATTGGTTTAGAAAAAAAACAATTATGAAGTATGGATGAAAAATCTATCGGATGTGACAACGGCTGTAGTATTATTCAACAGAAATGTTCAAGGAACTCCTCAAGTACTCTCTGTTGATTATTCTATGGTTAGTTAGAATACAAGTTTATGTCTACAATATAGAGAGTTGAAAAAGGTTAAATCTTATCCTGTACTAAACCTACTGTCTAATTTTTTTATCTCTATTCATATTAGCTCGGATGGACTCATAAAGTTGCAATGGTTAAAGATCTCTTTGCAAATAAAACTCTTGGCAAATATGAAAATCACTTTAGTCATCCTGTCAACGTCGACGGCGTAGTTATGGTGAAATTGACACCAGCATAATGCATGATCCACTTCTTAGAGCTTATTTAAATACTGTTGGCGAGAACTGCATGCCTTTCTTAAATAATAAGAGTTTACTATTGAATGAAAATTACACCTTCCATTAATACGTAATACTTTTATGTGATTGTGACAGATTTATTTGTAAGAAATCTTATTCTGTGTCATCCTTTACTAAGTGCAAACCACCGAAAACTCTTACTACTATATGATCAAAATTGTAATAATCGATAGCAGAGCGTATTAAGTACCATACAAGTAGTCGTATGAATTGTTATAAAGAAGCATTCTTAAAAGACCTTCGAAGTAAAATGATATATGGCTAACTAAGATATTCTTTCGAATTATCTGCCTTGTAATTTATTTTTATAGAAATTTCGTATACGAGATCAAATTTAAATTAATTTTCGTCATAACTCATAGCGAAAGAAATACGATATTGAAGAGATACCTCATCTTTGACTGAGTCTCAGTACTGCTAATAGAATGAATGCTCTAGTTTTTTTAATAAAAATAATAAACGTATGCTTATTAAAATCCCATCTATGCTATTCTGAGTACATCTCTATTGTATTAGGCAATGTACTAACACTCTCTTTACTTTTTGACGCAATTAAGTTTATTAATCATAAATAAACAAATGAACAGATAGTTATACATTCGATAATCACGTAAACAGTAAAGCAAATTGATGATATTAGATAACTGAGATAAGATCATTAGGAGCAATTATGCTCCATACAATACAATACTCAGTGCAAGTATACGAGTATTATATAATAAAGGAATAACCTTAAACGATTTAGCAAGTAGTAAAACTTAATGGTAATATCCTAAACCAAAGAGGAAATTTACACCATTAAAATAAAACATTTGCATTTAATACAGTATATCTTGCCGCATAAGATACGGCAATCTATCAGCAGATTAAGGATAATGAATAATCTTAAAGTTATATTATGTTATACTAAATTACGCTGAAATTATTTATAGTGACAATGGCTAGATTTTATAGCAGATTTTTAAGTAATAGAAATAAACGATGTAGATCTTTACATGTTTAGTAGCAATTCTTTCTAACCCATTATATTATTAATGTTAGCATAGTATAATTTCCTTTCGTTCATCTAGAATCAAATTCTATCAATGGATTGAGCGATTCTCACTGTATTAATGTTAGTTGGAATTATTTTCTTTAACTCATCTGGATCGACTTTTATCAATGTATTAACCATCCTTGTACGATTAATGCTAGCATGGCATCATTTTCTCCAATTCATCTGGATCAACTTTCATCAATATGTTAACCAAGCGCTGAATATAATCTAACTGTGTGGTACATTCTCGACAAAGATCTTGATATTTCCCGACAAGAATTTTATTTTGATCAGTTAATTCTTTATTCAAAAATTTAAAAGTTAGTAGGAAGCAAATGTGATATAATTTGTGTAAATTTAATTTTAAATAACTTAAATCTAACACAATTTATTTCTGTAAAAGAAATAATACTGAAAAACACATTTAACTAATTTAAATAGATGATCTCGAACATTTTAATACTCTGTAGGCGCGATAATTCGTATTAATATCATACGCTGCTAAATAGTCTATTTCATAACACAAGTATAGTAATACACACAAGAATAATCTATGAGAAAATACCTTGAATTCGCTCTTGTAGATCAGAAACCAATCGTCTATAGTGTTCAACTGTTGCGCTCCAATACTCTAAAAGTAATTAAATACTCTTTTCAGATTATAAGTTTAGATAATGATAGCGTTTCATAGTGATGCTTTATTATATGGCTATAAATTACTTTTTATAAGTTGTTCATTTCTACTTATATATTTTATGTTGTGGTACGGAAGTTATCTCAACCTATATCTAGTTGAATATTTTACTTTTATAATTTAATGGTAACAGTAACTTAAATAAGATTGCTTGGTTCTTTACTCGTATCTAAATGTATCTTTGCAACGATTTGAAAATTGTACGAGTACAATTTTAAATACGTACCATCGTGTAATGTAAACGGATATTTTTCATCTCCAATATAGGAAGCTGCTCTTAAGTGAGGAACCCTTTCTTGCTGGTTTTTTTCCAGTGAGATGTGATTTATAACACCATTTGATGTAAGTTGATTTTGATTTTTGATCGCAGTAGAAGCTAACCTAGCACTCATAACATTCATTATATTATTCTTTGTTGATCCATGATTGGCTGGACTATGATTGCTACCATCATTTGTTGTTTCTGAACTGGATTGATTGCTGGTATTACTGTCAGTACTTGATTCAATATCACTACCTTTATTATTACTAGATGAGAGAGCTGCAAAGTTATTGCGGGCCGAAATAGCAATTGGCTCACTTAATCTTCTATTCTTAGATTTCGTACTTGTTGACTGTGTCGGTTTTCTGATGATACTGTTTGCAGAATTTGATTGATTAGCATCATTAATAGTTGATAAGTCACTGGAAGGGCCTTTAGATAAATTAGAAAAACTACGGCGAAATTTAACATTAAATATGTTTAATTTTGATTTTTTGGTATTCGTTTTATCTTCATTGGAATGAGACACATTCATTGGATTCACATGATAGGCATGGATATATAATTTGCCAATAATCACAGCATTATTCTTGGTAGATTTGATATTGTACCATCGACCTTTGCTTTTTTGACGTGATTGCAAATCGCAAGAATCAAGTAAAACATAACCGATTTTTTCGTCTTTATCTCTTAACGATAATTTGATGTGATGATGCCGTTCATTGACAAAACTACATAGAATAAAATAAGGCACAGAAAGCTCGTAAATAAAGCATACTACCGACATTTCGAGATATTGTATATGTGTAGAGTTAGCATTATCAAACATTCGTTATTTAATAAGTTGCAATCTAAATTTTAACAGCAGCATTATAGGAACACGAAAATGTACTTTAGTTTGATATAATTGTTGGTATGTACATCTTCATATTTTGAATAGCTACTGAATAGGGGAAATTTCCTCGTAGCTCATTCAGAAGATAACGAAAATTATTCGGTGTAGCTCAAATTTTTAAATAGAACCTACTTCTGCTACATATGCAATTTTCAAAGCTAAACGAATAGCATACCACTCTTAGTGGATTAAAGAGCTTCTAATTTTAACTCTCGATTATATTAATTAATTAGTAGCCACTACTTGATATATTAAACTTGCAAAAATTGATTACTGAGGCTCTAAACGTTAGCAAAAATAGTTACCGTTGAATATTTGCAATATCCTAAATTGATTCGACTATTGGTAATTTGGTATATCATGGTTAGAAGGTTGAGTAGCTTTCAATTTCAACATTCAATTGGTTGATATAGTAAACAAATAAAATTTGTCGCCTAGTTTAAAATTTTAGAAAGAAATCATTACTTTATACGTAGTTCGCATAAGTTAGCGATACTACCAATGGTATACCATGCTCAGAAAGCTAAATAACTTTCAATTTCAACTTCAATTAATTTCCAAGCATGGTATACTATTGGTACTGTTAGTTTGGAGAGTTGAAGGTATAGTAGTTATTTCATTCTAAAACTTTAAGCTATACTGATTGATTTTTACAGTTCACAATATTGACATAATTGAAACTGATTCAACTTTCTATGACCAAGTATGCCATTGATGGCACTATTTTTAGACAGATAGCATCATATAGTGGTTATTTCCGTCTTAAATTGAGCTATAATTAATTTTTGTTTACGAGTATGTTATTGACCATTATAGACCATAATAGAAGATCTCTAGCTGCAATCGTAGTAGCGAAATTGATTCATATAGTTTCAATTTTTAGAGGAGAAGTGTTACCACGACATGTGTACAGTTATCCACAAACGATTTAATGTGTGATCTGAATAAGCTAGTCAATTGTTACTAGTAATAGTCTACCGCATTCAGAAGTTTAAGAAACAATCAACTTCTCTCTATAGAGTATGAAAAATGAAAATTAGGACTAATACCATGCTATAATAATGTCGGTGTCACAATAACGCCAGAATGCGATATTCCATATCTACGAATATTGAATTTTTCGTGGAAAATTTTCATTTCAGATTGATTGATAACAATAACTATGGACTGATCTATATTTCATACAAGCGTTTATGCGGAAAGTAATGAAATATAGGTATTTTCTTTAAAAGCAAATAATAGCTTATCTAAAGTAGGTTTTAGGACTACTATCCTATTTTCAGTTTAAACTTACTGCATTTGTGCTATGATGTAATTATTTAAAGCTCGATTATACTCCTTGTATAGCTAATTAATTGGTTAAGAAGTCAGAAAAAAGATTTTTATGGTGGAGTTACTCTCATACGACCTTAATTGAGCAAAGGACTCCGCAAAGCTTCAATCTTAGCATTCTACTGTGTTCGATCTTTAATGGTCAAATGATTGAAATACATAATTGTTGTAATTATATACTTATTTTATCATTTCTTCTATTGTTATTTTCGTACAGATAGCAGGCGTTATATGTAAGATTTAATGGAGCTAAAAATTTCCTTTGCCTATAAGATTTTCCGTTTTACGTTGATCCATTTTGTGATGACAACATCAATCAACTACATCTGATTGGTAATTAAGTTTGCTTGCAGTACTATTGCAAGAAAGTGCAGAATTTCGAATATCTTTTGTTTCTTTTATGTCTATGACGCAGATGTTTGCGAATTTGTTCGCAATGCATAGTGCAATAAATTGTAGGTTAGAGTTTAGTGCAGAGATTTTACTAGAAAAAAAAAATTGAACTATTTTTAAGTTTGTTCATACGCATTTTCGCGTCTTTATGCTACACTTTATTCGTGCCATAATCTATACAGTTAATATTGTATTACTTACAAGGAAGCTTCCTCATTCCATACTGGAATGTCTGAATTTATTGATTGAGTTTTACATTTCTTTTTACCTACGCCAAAAACCACCGAGTATTTGGAGTCTATAATGCCACCGAATGGAGCATTTATGTAAATAAAGACGACACTATTATCACTATATGCAAGGATGAATTTAAGCTTAAGTAAAAGTAAATATCAATAGTACAAGCATGATCTACCACGTGCATTAAAGTGGAGTCAAATACGAGAACATCGGTATTATATCGTATCTGGTATCCCCTCTTAAAAGCGTTTTTATCAATTGCTTACATGTGGTGTATATATACATTACACGTTGGCAGCTTTAACAAATGAGATAAAATTGTGATTATAGTCAGCTTACCGGTTTTCTTCGATAATAAATCTTTCCCGCAATAAACTTTTTGTAAGATGGGTAGTATAGTGATGAAAGAAAATAGTAATATTAGCTTATTAAATAAACTAGACTTTCAGAAGCAAGTCAACGTGCAAGCATGAGATTGACAAAAAAGATTAGAATAAACATTATGGCAATCTAATACTGATCGTATGCGTTGGCTTTGATTGTTATTTTTCTGAATATTTACAAGTAGATCCATATCGTTGTCTCTATAACTCCAATACTGTGAGCTTTATTCGTTTTCGAATATTTATTTAATTACCAATGACGTTAATTTCACCCTCGATAGGCTGTTCGTTGGAATTCATCTTGTTATATCTTAATGATAAGACATGGTACTTTATTTTCGCCAATAGTTTGATTTGTATAATATAGGTAACTCGATGATAACTTTTCTTCAACAGAGATAGGTCGTTATTTGTATACAGTCGAATTGAACTAAAAACATTAAGATGGTAAAATGTGGATGAAAAGATCCAATGTTAAATAAATGTCAAGTAAAACTTTCAATACTAAAAATTACGGGATCGTAAATCAGTTAGTCGAGAATAGATTACATATACAAGTATTTGTATTAATACCTGTTAAAAGTGGCATGGATAACATGGCTTTATGATCTTTAGTTGGTCAGATCGTCTCATCGATGGTGATTACTAAAGGTAATACACAGATCGCTTTTAAAGAACGTATGCTTCGAATTAATTTAATTAAGAATGTTGATTTGGGTTTTTATCCTATCAAAAGGGTGGATTGAAGCACTATATCTATATATAAATTCATATAATACAGTACGTTTACTCGATTATATGTAACTGTCGATGCTAATTTAATTTTTCTGCTACTTGGATTTGTATTGATTGCAGAAGAGAACAGCTAACTACGAATACTATGCAGCACATAATTTTTTTGATTTTGAAATGATAATAAAACAGTTTTAATATCGGATTTAATCCTAGACTACTAAAATAATCTCTATCCAAATTTTAAATCTTCACATCTGTCATAATACATTCATGAATCAACCTTTTATGTGTCTTTTGTCGCATACTATTGCATGAGATATAATTGAAATAGTGGTCAGGGCACAACTGATTTATTGATCGAAAATCTACACTGCCTATACTGGTGTTCCTTTGATATGTAAGTGAAAGGAGTTACAGTGACGTATTCTAGCTGTAGATCATGTGTTGTGTTGTGAGTGATATGCTGTAACTGTGTATTTGTACGCGTATGAATATCATCGTAAGTGAGTAAAATAAGGCGTATTTATTGCACCTGTTGTCACATTTTATCAATAGAATCTAATTATTAGTAACCAAGCGAATATCACGAACTTGCGCAAGTATTTATGTATAATTGTTGTCATAAAAGTATATTATGTAGTACTGTATAGTAGGATAAATTTTACCGTTACGAATAGCTAAGTTAAAAAAATATTCACGATGGCTTCATAATTAATTGATCGCTAATAATAATACGAGCACAAACATTTAAATGGTATTTGCATTTTAGTAAACCTCTAATTAATAGAAATTTCCGTATGTAGTACTCAATCTTTATTATCAATGATTGATAGCTATTTTCGCGTATAATCATTTTGGAGAAAAAATTTGTTGCTATTATTCTCTCTTCTTACCTTAATGTTATTGGATAGAAAGAATGTTAATATATGGATTACAAAAACGGCACAGTCAGCTTATTGAGATCACCTGAATTGCCTATACCTCAAAGGGTAAAGATTTATTTGATGAATTATCTATCTACTGTACACGTAGCTGCATGATTGGCGCAATATTACCTGCGGATGTTACTTGAATTGATAAAATACGTCATATATTGATAGGAAATAATTAATAGGAGAGTTTCTTTCAATCCAAGTAGACAAAAGCTCGAAACTCGAAAGTGAGTTAGCTAGCATACAAGTGTCTTGTGGACTTCTTAGACCAAATTATCCGCGTTATAGTAATGCAAGTACTTGCATTTGAAGGTAGGATGCTCATGGCTCCAATCGTTAACGGAGATCGAGCATAAATAGTACAGTAATGCTTTACGACGCAAAAAATCTATTTCTTATTAATTTCAACATTATACCGTTGACATGTTTGGATGTCAATGCTTGGAACTGAAATTCAACTTTAAGGAATCATTTCCTTTCTAAACCGTATTATCTTACACGAGAAGCAATCTAATATTTTTATTAGACCGTATCGTATATCTAATGCAGATTCTACGGTTTACACTTATGCGACACAATTCTGCAGCTGCGTTTTGTACAAAATGAGATAAAAATAGATGTTGTTATTTATAGATAAGCCATCATAAGCGCATACAATATTATAAGTTGTTGTAGTATTATAGAGATGATATCGGTCATAGGCGACTAAACATTTTCGTTTGTAGTAGATGTACTGTGTTGCTCTTGCATATCACGATATAGTAATGTGGCGATCGCCATACGTCATTCCTCTGATAGACAGGATATCTGAAATTGTTAAGGCCTCTTGTATTAAAAGCGTTATCTTTTATTACTTTACGATCATTAGCAATAATAACAATGATTAGCACTGAATTAATAGAGGACTAATAAACATAGCGCCGTACTGCAGTTACATGTCTTAGCATAGAAAATAGAGGGCTATTTTCTACACGTGCTGCTACCAAATTAATACTATCTACCCATTTTCTACAATTTAGAATATAATGGATGCTATGACGGATATTTGCTAAGATTAAATTAGTAAAACTGGCTTCCTTTAACACGGTAGTGAATTACGAGATTTAAATTTCTTTCAAAACACACCCATCGGATTACAAATAGCGATCAAGAGAGAAACAAAACTAAATAGGATGAATGTTCTTCCTTTTGCTATCACACAGTAGTTAAGTCGTATCTATTTTTTACTTTGTGATGATTATACTTGATATGTGTGGTATTATCTCGTCTTTTATCTTCCTTTAGTTTTCTGGCTCTTGCTGATTACCCGATACGCTATGCTGCATTTGGTCGACGAGGTGCTGTTGGGCCGCAGTTGTTGCTATTAAATATAAATAATATCAGTTATAAACTTGTAAGCGAATTTGATCATCATTTTTTTCTCTCAATCTGATTTTACATATAGAATTTTTTAATTGACAAACTCATACAATTTACAAGACTAAGTCAAATATACAATAAGGTTAAACCAAGTCAATGTCAGTTTGATTTCTATTATATTTAAAACAATGGCCACTTTTTGTGATTTAATGGACAAGTTACTATAAAACACTAAAATTAATTTGCTATCATGTACAAAATAGGTTTACTTCATTTTCTATTAGAAACTCATCCTTTTTAATCTACCTAAAACGTACGAGGTGATCGGAAGTAAATAGCAAGGAACTGATTGACTAAAATTAATTAATAAATACAGTATCCATTATACCTGTAATGTGGATTTCCGATTACTGATAGCGCCTTTACTAGCTAAGGAAAGACGTAATTATGGTTAACTGTTTGTCATTAACTACTTTATAGTAGAATAGCGCCACTAATGAAATACTCTTCTCTGCCACTGTTGTTTGAAGCCATAGCGTCAGTATCAAATTTGATTATACTTGCATATTACATTAGAGGTAACAATTGTCATATACGAACTATTCCATAAAAATCTGTTGTAGCAGCTCTTGCACTAGCATATTAGCGAGATACGAGAATTTTACTCTACCGTGCTCTTTAGCAACGTTCACAGCTGCGTTAGCGGCACCAGTAACTTCCGTCTCGATCATATTCAGATCTCTTTCAATTTCCTGTTCGTGTCTTAAAAACCACGGCCTTATGATCTTGAAGTAAATTATGTGGGATCCATTCCAAGATACAGGAGCCATGCACCAGCAGAGGAATAGCAACTAAAATAAGAAATAAAAATCAAAATTAATATAAAAGTGGGTGCTTAGCAGATCAGTCATTTACTACTACACCATGTCTCAATTGCAAATTAAAAATATAAAAACAGATTTTACAAAAGTGGACTATTGTTTCAATACTTTTACAAAAAATTTACACCTCTTTAAGATGTAAATTATTATTACTATAAGATATTAACTGATAGTGGTCTAATCACATCAGTATTAATCTGTGCCAAAAATTTCATTCAAGCTGGTAATTTTATAGGCTACATTACACGTTAGTCTGTATGCTTGTAGAAGAATGACGTTATTGTAATACGATAGCAGTAAACGTCAATATTAGCGTCAAAAGTAGTTTCAGGATATCGTTATTAATGCGAAATATTCACTAGAGAAGTACTTTCGAAAGTATATTGCAAGATGGCGAAGTTCAGGATAGACGATTAGCATTTGTTTGATATTTAGTATCAATAGTAAATTAATGGATACCGTAATAAAAGCTACAATTGATATTGTAAAAATAACTAGTAAAGTCTGTGTACATTGACTGCTTTTAAGTAAGATTGCTTAAACATCTTTAGGTAAGATTGCATTGAAGTAGTCTTTTCGCTAAATAACCATAAAATAGTAATATACTGTTCATTGAGGTGTTAGGTAACGTGCTCATTTTGTATTATTAAATCAGAATTATTTCATATTTAAGGAAGGGCGAGAAGATCAGTGAGTCATTATAAGTCTAAGCAAAGAAGAGGAGGTGTATTGCGAGGCTTATGACTCAAATCATATGAGTAATCAGAAATAATTTCAAAATTTCATGTTTAAGTACAGTAGGGAGAGAACTAGACATGACGTCATCGACTGATATTACTGTACTATATGTTAACATTACATGACGTGGACGGCAGTAGTGAACCAGTAAAATTTAAAGAATAAACTATAGTTTCTATCCATGAATTTCAGTATTAATTATAATAATTAACAGTAAATACTGTACAATATTGTCTAACACATAATGCTTAAGGTACGCATATAACATGTAAGCGTTGCAAAGTGACGCTAACGAATAAAGGGCAACATATGCCTGACGCAATCTCAAACCGAGAGGAAAAAAACACATGGTGATTTACAAGTAAAACACCGCTCAGAAATCGATTAACGAACGAATCATTTACAAATACATCAGTCATATAAATCTTGCCTCGTAAATTTCGATACTATCATATCATTTTTAAAAGCTTTTTTCATTATTATTCTCAGGGTTTTTAACACTGTAAAGTACAGTGTATCAAGTGAAAACTGTCAAGGGCACAGTTCTGACGATAAGTGACTAACAAACTATGCAGAATTTATAAACGAATATTAAATGACTGCTAGAGTATCATGTAATTGTAATTATGTTACTGCGGTATTTTATCGGCGTACAGTAGACATCGTCCAGTTTGTTAAAGTATACATTGTATAGAATAGAGCATAACATAGGCAGGCAATTAAATTATTTATAAGCAGAAATCGATAAATTTTCTTTGTTGCATAAAGCATAAAAGTAATCATTACGATTACAATATCACTTTTGTAGCCTTACTTTCATTAGAAAATAAAACGGGAACCAAGATAGTAGTAGATCAGAGAAGTACTCCAAAATATTGAAGACAGCATAGACTACCCAGTAAGTCAACCACTGGCGGTCGTCCCGTGAACCTTCGCTTTCAATAGCTTTAATACTGTTCGTTAATAATAACAGGTGTAGTGTTATTTTTTAAGTCAATGTTAAGGAAAGATTTATTTACAAATGAGAAATATCGAAATCGGACATCATTGCAGTACTACAGTACTATACGGCACACTACAGTACTGTATTTCACACCTAGTAGATTTAACATCGCAGCAATGTGAACAATAACGACGACCTGTCTCCAGTAGTGATAGAAACGATCGGAAATGCAGTACTGTACAATAAGAACTAAATAGTTGATTACAGATCGTAGATTGTAATTTACTATCCTAAAAATATGAAAATTGCAGTACAGTTAAAGCATAAATTTCCTCTGAATACTTCAATTTAATAACTGCAATTTTACCGTCATCGCCTTTCCATTTGAGGACAAACTGTTTCAGTATTGTACGATAACCTCCGGTAAATATATATACACGGTGTAACTATATGTATTATGTATGGTACAGTATCCAGGCGCAAATTTACATTGGGCAGTAGAGTAGGAAAGAATGATGTAAATTTATTAACAATTTGACATGCTGTGCAGGGTAATAAAAAAATCTACGCGCTATTAGATGTCGATGAATTGGAGTTTATAGAGTATTTAGTAAACAACAGGGAGAAAGTTTGCTGTACCACTAATACTCACGATGCAACAGCTGGATAAGCGAAACCCAAGACATTACAAAGTATTTGTGCTCCATATCCTACGGCCATATAGAAAGCTAAGAATCCTCCGAGACCTAAATACGCAAATATCAGTGAATATTTTAGAAGAGATAGAAGCGTGTAACTCAAGAAGGAGATGAAAGAGAAAGGATACGCGTATTTACAGTGTGCTGTATTGATTTTAATGGTTACTACATAGCAGAAATACAACAACTTGCGAAAATTTTAACGATTGCAAAATCATGATTGTTCTTAAAGATCATAATTTTTACGCACATTATTTAGTATAAGAGCTAGCTAAAAATTTCAATCTGTGCTACTGTATCTCAAATAAATTTAGCAACTTGTGTAGTTGGATGGCGGCTTTTCGTCGTAGAGTGACATTTGAGCGTTGATACGGTATAATTGACAGAGAGTGGGGTCACAGTTTACACATGTAGGGCTAAGAGGAACACTAATCGTATCTTATATCCTTAAATATGGTAATAACAAATGTATTCCATACAAAATCGTAACATACCATTGAGGTGCTTACTAAGAGAGCAGGAAATATGCGCGTGGATTGCAAAAAAGATTCCTGTGAAGTAATTTACTATGATGTAGTACGGCAGTATGTGGACTGTTGACGTTTCAGGACACTATCAAAGAAGAAGTCCATGATACTACTGTATACCGTGTGCAAATGTTGCATTTTGAAAATTATATCATGAGAATCTTTAACAATATCATTCCAGCATGACGAAACTTTGAGGCATCACCAGCTGAGCTATATGCTTTTATTGATTATTACGTTAACAAGATTGCCGCATTGCCTTCAGTTAAAGTAAAAGCGGTATCCAGACAGTGCCGTACACTACTTAGTCGTTACATACGCTAAATTTGTTAAGCAAACTGGTCAGACGGTGCACGGAGAATACCATAAGCTAATAAAATTGCACACACTATGGAGTAGAAATTGTATAGTTTTTCATACTTTAAGATGGGATGAGGGCATAATGGTATAAAAATAGACATAGCAAACTGTAGTATAGCACAGCAATATCTGTAGAAAATGGCTTAATGAAGATAAAAAATAGCATGAAAGATTGACGTTATTTTAGATAATAGGCTATCACTAAACTGGGATCAACTACAAAATAGGCTTTTGTTGAACTTCAAAAGCCATAATATACTGTACAGAGTACTGTACACTGTACTGTTTTCGAATAGTATCGTGAAAGTGGGCCGCCGAAATATTTAAAAGCCGCCCATAAATTTAGTTATAAGGGCAGCAGACCGATGAGATAAATCAATCAATAACTTGAGGATCTAGCTTTTATCAGCATGAGGGTAGACAAATATTGGTGTCCTATGCAGTTTGACTCTTACAATGGACAAATTGTAGCATCATGTAGAATCAACGCCCGCCCCCATTGAGGCTAACAGTTACTTCTACTCCATCCAACTTACCACCAACTTGATAAATTTTTTGGACGCCGGTTTGTTCTTCAATTTGATTCAAGACATCCGTCACTGCATTTTTCTCGTTCAAGAATTTTTCTAACTTTTGCCGAGCGGTCAACAGTTCGTTTGCGCCGTTGTCGGCGGGAGCATTCGCCGGTGTTGGCTTAACTTCGGTTTGTTCTTGATTCGGTTGATTCGACATTATGTCCAATATTCTTTAATTCTGTATCGTTACAACAAAATTATACAGGAAAAATTTTCTTAGCTAGACCAATAAAGTAAACGGAATACGCAAAATAATGAATATACGTATTATTATCCAACTTTTCCTGTACAACTACTGTGTAGGGTATACTGTATAATATATTCTCTTGGCGGTTGAACGATCAGTAAGCAATCCTATCAGGCCGACATACCTTTGGGAACTTTTCTAGCCCTTTTTAAAATACTTCCACTATATAATGGCTCACTTGCGCCAGAGCCACACGTTCTTATTGCCCTTGTAACCTCTATGATTGCAGACTTTTGTAGAGTACAGTACACATACAGTACAGTACTGTAGGTCGTACAATCCAAAGACAGCACAGTGCAAGGTCGGCAAGTTACAACGAGACCTCACCTATCCCACGATGTGAATGGCAGTATACTCCTACATTACCGTACCGAAATGCTAAAAAATGACCCACGGACAGCAACTGGTTCACAAGGGGTCCACGATGATCAATAGTGTTTTATATGAGTCAGCATGAGGCTTACGGTACGCTACTGTTACTGTACTGTACCGTACAGTACAGGTTTGTCTTTCTTCTAAAAATAGCTAAATACTGTAAAATAAGAATTTTACCATGCTGTGGTGTACTGTACAGTACTGTAGTATTGTACTGTACTGTACGCTGTGTACAGTATTGTCAAACCATAGATGTACTGTACAGTACTGTACTGTACACTGTACACTGTGTCATGGACTCCTGGATGATCATTGGTCATGGATTACTATTGCATTGTAAATACAGTACTGTACACTGTACAGTACCAAAGAGGTAAGAAAAAACCTACAGTACAATACTGTACTGTACCTTACTCAGTATCGATAGAAGTATCATCGCCATCAGCACTAAATTAAAAGACTTTCTTAGTCTAGGGTCACTACAGTTTGAAGCATGCTGATGCAAGTCATGCAACCTGAGATTCTTTCTGCACAGTACAGTACTGTACTGTACAAAGTAACAGCACTGACAGTGAATATGGTGAATACAGTCATGGACAGATGGAACACAGTACAGTACTTGAAGAAAATGGGCGTTCTCTTAAGATGGAGACAAATTTGCAAATCAGTGACAGCTCTGCCACTGCTAACGAGCAAAGATCAAAACTGTACATAATCGACTAATAATGCTGTAAATACCAGTGTAATCAAGTGTTTTTTAGCAGAAAACTCGGCTGGTACATTAAAAGTGAATCAACTACTGTATGTATGACTCAACATGATGACTCACTTGGTCCGCCCTGTCAAATTCTAGTTCTCCACTGGAATATCTCTATCTGTACCCCCGATTAATTAATTAATTAATTATTTATATCCTGTATATAGTATACTATTATTCATTATGAACGCAGCGATTTATCAAATTAAATTATTACTACAGATTAAGTATGCAAAATTAGTATGCTCTCCTCTGTAACCGCACGAGCATTGAGCTGAGCATATCCTTAATACTGTACTCGTATACTAAGGTAGTTAACTGCTAAAGTAGCACTGACACATTGACGTTCTACGAGCGTGTAAAATGGAGCATTAGATATTCTTATAGTGGTTCATAATTGTTATAAATGCATGCTAGCAAACACTCATTTCATACTATACACTGTAAAGTATACAGCAATGCTGTATTCTTTATAATAGACGTTAGTGTTGTAATGCGGTTATTTGATTAATATACAATAGTTACTCCAATTAACAATAGCTAATCATTAATAATTACTATTATTATGGTGATGACATGTTAACACAATCAATCAACTTTAAAGAAGCTTAATGGAAATCTAGGCAAATAGATCAACGATAACACTAGATGGTCTGCGCGTGCGGCATATCTACAACATGATACCAAATCTAAAGCTTAAAATGTTTCCCGAACATTGATAAGATAATTTTAAATACGTTCATATACTGTACACTAGTGTACAGTACAGCGCAGAACAGTAATACAGTATACGCATACGTATACGCGTATGCATGTTGTATCCTCTTCCGTGATTGATATTTTGACTTATCTAAAGGGATTAGTTGTGTAATCTCATGATCTACTACAGCAGGTAGCTTATAGTCATAAATACGGCAGATATTTACTGAAATACTGATTAACCCTGAGAATAACCCTGACATTATTAATTAATTACAGCATACGAGTATACGGTACAGTAAATTGGTTTACCATTTTGTAAAACTGCATAACAGTTGTATATCGTACAAAGTGGCACTGTAACTCGTATTCAAATTTGTAGTATATCATATGCGGTTAACATGCAGAAGTTGAAGAGAAAATATTAAATAAACGGCTCATTTATTAACTGTAAATCATAATACCGATCTACAGTTAGAATCGAGTTTACGATACCTTTTACTATAAAAGTTTATAATATTATTGATGTAGAATTAATTATATACTCGTATTATTCTCAAATAAAATTTAAAATTTCCGTAAAACCGCTATTTATTAATTAATAGTGGTGCCCTCTACGTATATATGTACTATATAGTGCCATTAATTCTATGCAATATAGATCTAATCTTGTACGCTTTCATTTGTATAATTTATTAGTAGCTGGTTTTGATATTATTATTTTATATTTTATAAAATTGTTCTCAATTACATTTTAATCCTTATCCACTAACTCTAGAAAAGTGATTATCATCAATTATGTTTTATCGGATCATGAAACAGATGCTTCTATTTATCCGTGATGAACTATGCATCTATTTCTGCTGTACGTTAAAAATTATAAATTATGTGTTAGCTATTTGTACCAGGGATAGCACCCGTACAAAATTTTTCTCTACAATTTTGTATAGAATATTGTTGACTTACTACCCGGTTAGAGTATACATATTGTATAAGTACTATACACGTATTGGATAATAAAGAAGAGTAGGGTTTTGTATCATCTGAATTGATTATATTGATGACAATTTTTAATCTTAAAAGCTTTAACAGTGTTAACATGTAAATACGATATAATGTATTTATGTTAAGATCTTACTACTGAACTAATTATGCTAAAAAAAATTTATGAGTTATGTAGTCAACTACTTTGCATACTAATTGCAGAGTATAGTTCAAATATCCATTTGATGCTGTGCGTAATCCTGAAAGAATGTACTTTAGTATCCTAATCTAGCACGCAGTAACAGGTATACGTGTTTTTGCAAACGTATGTTGGCGTACGTAGTTAATTTATTGAATCTAATAAAATTCAATTCATGTTATACATTTTGCAATATACGTACAATGAGTGTCGTTTTTGATATGTTACAAGTTAGGTTAATTAAAATGCTAGGTACAGTTAGTGCACCGTGATTAGCATCTGGTACTTATTAAACAACATATGGTCGGTTGCTAGTTCTAGAATGAACTCTTGATTAATTTATAAAATCATTAATTTTATTTAGAGACATTAAAAATACATTTAGCTATATTACTACGAAATTCGAAAAATTAAGTCTAGATCTAAGTACTGAGTTCACGTACGTACACGTATGTGATTGTAATTGTAGCTAGCATATTTTCTTGATTAATTTTATTGTTTGGCCATGTTAATGAACAATATACGAGACCAGTACAGTATTTACTATACTGTACTATAGCTATTTGCGGTATCTGATATATTAATGCAACGTATTGTGAAGCAAGGATTTTATTATCCAGTAATCCTTATTACTAATAAGGAGGGAGATACCATGTTTGAAAGAATACACTTATGCATTATAAATTAATTCATTCGATAACCCTCATTTGCTCTACTTTACTAACAGATTAATTATCATGTCCAAGTAAAGGATATATGGCCTACTGTAAGACTACACAAGTTGCACTAATAACTATTGCAACCTTTTTGAATTGCAGAAATAAGCTGTTCATGTTATCTGTTGAGATATTAGAACTTAAATTATTATGCACGTCTTTCAATTATACTGCATTGAGAATTTTAATATTGAAGGCTATACTGTAGCACTCCTTAAGATGATTTCTACAAATCAAAGATGGCGATGCATACGTAAAAATAAAAGGGTTACTATTTGTTAGTTCAAAGAAATGATTCCTTCATTAGCACAATCAAGCAAATTAGTTTACAAAAGTCGCATGTACGAATTTAACATCATAATATAATTGATCACGGCATGAAACTCTATGTCTTAGTAGATTTGGGTCAGAAAATTCGAGCGAGATCCGATGAGGAGCTACATATTTGCGAAGATGTACAAACAATGTTAACTTTATTGGTCATAGAAAGAGGAATATTGGTTTGGCTTTATCATATTTATTAATGCTTGATCGTAATCGTTGCAGCAGAATATTAGCACCGTAATATACTGTTTGATAATCACTTTACACATTGTACTTAAGGATAACCCTAATTCGAACCTTATATTGCAAATTCAATCTTCAATTGTAGAAAATAAATATAAATTTATATTGTAGTACGTGTAAAAGGAAGATGTGTTATTAGCTTGATCTATTTATCATGATATCATAGTAAATTACCACATAAATGATAGCAGATAGTGAGCGATTCATGACTTCGAGATGCATTTTATAATTTACTTTATGCAATGAGCAACAAAAATAATTTAGCATTACATTAGGAACTATCTAGGCATGCACTACCAGATGACAGACTAACCATGTTAAGATTCATGGCCGGTATAATTTCATTATAGCATTTTTGATACCTCCAACATCAGGTTTGTAGTTGCGCATATAGAAAGCAATTGCACATGAAAAATTATAAAATCTACTTATAGTAGCAAATAAATGTTTTACAATTCAAACGTCTGAGGCATAAACATATCTTTAGTAAAGATTCAAGTAACGAAATATATCTATTGAAGAACATCTTAATTTTCGAGTTAATATCTTGAGATTGGAAGTTAGAGAACTGCATAGCATAGATTAGGTGGATATATGGTAATGACCATCCCTAACGTATTTATATACGGAGTCTGGATAAAATCTTAACTACAGTCACAATTTTATGGGTCCAGGAATTAGTACTATCATTTTATTAAGTATGTATATTTTAAATTATTAGAGACCGAAGGAAACCAATATTAATACAAAAATTTTTTAGGAAGAATGTAAATTTCGTGGTCTTCTATACTCAAAGTAATTTGAAAAGCGTTGAAAAATATATTTTGTAGATCTTAGAATGGCATAGCTGCAAATATATTGAACAGTAACTGCACCAATACCCTTGTAAAGGCTACAGGTGCCTTCCTCATTGATCATTGATGTGTAACAATCTAATACACCGTCATAGGAAGTGTCCAGAGGCACAACACCTACCCCTAAAATAGCAATAAAAATTAAAAATTATAAGGTTTTTCCATTTGTGATCAGCAGAATGCATACTAAAATTGTAGTTATTATAAACTTAAAATAATGTTGTAAGAGAAATGTTGCAGATATCGATTGATGCATGAGTGATTCGCGGAAGCTTACAGAATAAGATGCATGTAATATACTGTTATTTTAACATATTATGTTACCAATAAGCATTATTATATACAATTCTCACCAGCGTCAGTGTTATCTATTATAGTTCGTGTACCCTGCATGAGTAATCTATGCATAATCGTTTCTAACGGATACAGTACTATATCTGATACCATATTTCCAAAAAAATGAGCTGCTAACTCTGGGAAAAAAGTCTCTGTCATCGTATGAGGCTGGTCTGTATCTTCATCATCTTCAGGTTGACTTGACTCAAATGATTCAGATTTTTTAGAATCACGATAGATACGTATAGTAATCAATTCAATTAATGATGTTAATGTATAATGTAAAATATGATAGCCAACAGTTGGTATTGCTAACTTCCATAACGGTAGTAATCGGGTTGTCCTGGGTAAATTACGACCGATAATACGGTTAAAACCGCTGACCAAACAGTTCAAATTCATTACATTAGAATTTCCATTGCCAAAATTGCACTAAAAAATGACAAAATCAATTTGACTAAGCTTTGATTTTACTTTGTTAGAAATAAATATTTGAATCAAGAGGAGATATTTCTATGCCGTACTTTTAGTGTTTCCAGTAGACTTGTCGCGTAAAATGGTGTTACAATCATAAAGCTGAGACTGAAATATTGCAGAAATTGGACCATAATTAATGAAATAGGTAGAGTAGATTGAGTTTAATCTAGCATTTTGAGCATATACCTATATTCGAGTAGTACCTTAACGAGTATCATGAGAATATGTATGATTTGCGTGAAAGAATACAATTAATTAATTACGCACATCACTATGCGTATATTTGTAACTAACCTTTTAAGGATTGTATGTGTTGGAAATTTCATCAGTCCTTGATTAGGTTTTATCGATAGTGGTACAGTTTCAGTGATTAGAGTTTCAGTTGAAATAACTAACCCACGTACTATGAATGTACTTCCAAATCCTTTCCAAAGTGTTGCAAATCCCTTTATTAGTTATAGAATAAAGGAATAATGAGTTTCTAATGTAGCATAGCTGGATTATAATAAATTTTTTTACCATTATTGAGTCAATAAAATACTTCAGTAGTTATAAGTATATAAGTATGCAATGGATAATCTAAGAATAGATCTCATAATGTGCTATACAATTTATAGTAGTTACTCCAAAAGGAGTTCACGAGGTCTGCACCTGGTGCCTCTGGATACCCATCAGAGTTGGTAGAACTGAGAAAGGCGTTAAGCAATAACCAGTTGAACGATGATTGACCTACAAAGTAAGAATATACGTATTAAATCATAAGAGTATTAGGCGTTAATATGTATTTATTAAATGTAGGTATACAACTTTCATAAAGAGATTTTTCCACACTATAAGATGATTTAACCAGTATACGAACACTTAGTACAGTATTTATAGTATGTATTTCAGTTTCAGCAATTCTGAACTTACTTGACATTGGCGACGTAAGACAATCAAGGGGTGAGATATGGTTTCATCAATGCAACGACTAATTATGACAACAAAAAAAAGGAGTTTTATTCAATCGTTTAGTCTAGTTTTACGTATAACGTCATACACATACAATGTTCTCAAGTTATATTATCAAGAATACAGCAATACTGTACCTGATCAATCTGACTGCAATTCCTAGAGTGAGTTGGTTTTTCTCTATACAATATACACAATAAATAAAATTAACAAGAAGGCAGAAGATTAAATTATATGCTATGCAGAGTACTGAATATACGTAATATCAGGGTAGCCACTCTGGAGATGTATAGTTATTCTAGTATGTAAAATACTGTATTGTATTATTATTTACTTTCTTGGAATTCGATATCTTTTCTTCTAGGTGCAACGTCCTCTAAGATATTAGCTTGGGCTTGTTCAATATCGTCAAGTTCAGGTTGTTCGTCATCTACGTTTGAATTCTTTTCCTTTCTCGACTGCAAGATTGATTCATAATTATTAAAATTTAAGCCAGTAGATCCTGCCATAGATGTTTGTAGTCTTGGGCTTAGATTTCATACAAATTAATGAAATCGTAAAATAAATAGATCGGGGGAAATAAAATTATAAATTGTACTTCCCTTTTTAAGTTTTAATCATAGATTAAAATTCATAAAATTGAATATGCAGTACTATACTGTACTGTACACTACAGGACCTTAAAACTGATGCAGAATAATCTTCAGACAGACATACAGATAGAAAAGATTATAACTGTACAGTACCATGACAGTAAGTACAGTATAATGACTGTACTAAGTGTACTGTACTGTACAGTACAGTACCATCCCGACTTTAATAACTCCTGAATTTATTAACTAAGGTTACAAATGTGGCGACAAGTGGTGATTAGCATTACCTAATGATATCCAGTAAAGATATCTACTGATATACGAATATCTGTAATTTTAATTTAGCAGTAGTGCCAATATCGTTATTAGTGTATAATTAATTATTATAATCAGTCGTGATTTGCAATATTTATCTACGAATTACTAAATTACCGGTAATTTAGTAATCCACGATATATCGAATCGACTCGTTCACATTACATAGGTAGGTTTTAGTGTGATCTATACGCTGTAATTATAGGTTAGATTACATAGCGCAAGGCGGAATTTATTTATTAAATATGCATCTAACGATTAATGAAATATATTTTAAAATATATAATAAATGAATAAATTAATCAAAAGTGGGTTTAACATTGTTTATAAAGTGATATGTGTATTTTGTCTAAATTAGCTTGCAATGGCATTGAGATTACTGGTTTTGATAGCTTTAATCGCTTTGCCAATTACCCTTTTGCCTCTTCGCGGACAATGCGCAAAGATAGCTGTAATACCAATGTTTGGAAAAAGTCATGTACATGTCATCAATGCAATGGGAGAAGCTTTGCATAAGCGCGGCCATGATGTAAGAGTAGCTGTCAATCTGTCTTGTAATAGCTAGATATCTACAGTACGTAGAGGAGGTCATACAATAGCTGTTTGCGGTTAATATCACTATTATCTAGTCTATTAATAATAACATCATAGTTTAATATACATACGAGTATACATACTGCATGCTGTTATCGTAATAGTGCAGCTGTAGATATTGAAATATCGTTGCACAGTACCTGAGTACCATAATATTAGTGAAATGGTTAATTAAGCAATATTATTGTGTCATGATACTTGAACATCCATTTGACGCTTAAACATCATTCTCAAGTACTGTAACGGCAGTCTGCAAAAAATGATATGGTCCTTTATGCCATATGATCGTTATAAATACGCAAGCAAAAAGTTTGACGAGATGTGCCAGTGATGTAATGTGTGTAATTCTTATACATAGCATCAGATATTTTGAATTGCAAGGTATAGCCATTTCTTTTCTTGTGTGGTTTGGTGTATTCTAATTAAGGGATATGTATTAGAGGTTAAAATAGTAAACATCTAACAGTAAAGTACAAGAGCTAAGCTAAGTCATCAACACTACTTCATTGAAACTATTCAACTTGCTGCATGATATTGCAATATGTAGTTTAGTTACCTCCTGCGATAACATACGCGGAATAATCATAATCATTAAAGGGATTGCACCTAAGCTTAACATTGATAATATAGAGACAGTAATAACATTGAAAATATCTCATTTGTATTAAGTGGCTAGTGTTTCCGTAATTCTGAGGTACGTTGATATTTTCTTACTTTTAGGTGCGGATAACCGTTGAAAGAACACAAATGTTGCCAACCATAAAACTTCCTGTTGATTCTTACGAGGTTCAGCACCCTTTTAAATTTGGGGAAGTCAATAACAGCTTTTCTATCATAACTACTTTAAAAATATTTTTGAGATTGCAAAAGGAATATTGTGCAGCTATTCTGAATAATTCAACTATTATGTCTTATTATAAAACAATTGACGTCCTAGTAACTGATCGTGGATTTATTTGTGGTAGTTTAATAGCGACTGCAATTGGAAAGCTTCATGTTGTTGTATCGCCTGGTGGCTTTAATTTGCCTCATTTATTACTTAATAATCCTTTTCCGTTATCATATATTCCGTATGCATTAACTGGATATTCATCCAAGATGACATTTAAGCAAAGATTTCTGAATACAGTTTTCTATCTTATGGGAGACAGATTTTTCTCTTATTTAACGAGGACAACTATTACGACGTTAAATCAGGAATTCAACATTGCTCCATCAATGAGCTTATATGAAATTGAGAATTCTCCATCAATGGTGTTGATTACTAGCGATTTTGTCCTTGAATACCCTCGACCTGTTCTACCTAATGTTAAAGTTATTGGTTCTTTATCTGCTACGCCAGCAATGCCATTGCCTAATGAATTGGAAGCATTTATGAATGGTGATAGTAAAGTAGTTTATATTGCATTCGGTTCAACGTTTGAAGAACTTAGCTTAGAAAAACTGAGAATCTTAGTAGATGCTGTAAATCGATTACCATATAAGGTGCTATGGAAAATCAAAACCAACATCACTGACATTGGCTCACATGTTAAAATTGTTGGTTGGGTACCTCAAAATGATATTTTAGGTCACAAAAATACCATTGTTTTCTATTCTCATTGTGGCCATAACAGTATGTACGAAGCTGCTTATCACGGTATACCTGTCCTTGCGATGCCAATTCATGGTGATCAGATCGATAATGCTAACCAAATTTTGCAGGCTGGGTTTGGTGTCAAGATAGATTTTCTTAGATTAACATCAGATGATATAGTTAATGGAATTATGCAACTTACAAAGGATAGGTCAGTAACTAACCTGAGGTTGTCCAATTTCTATTTATGATGTTACTGGGTTTAATTCTAGTTTGTTGAGTGATATGACACTTATAACAAAACAGTTTAACGTACTGTATTCATCTAATATTTACTACATCACTGGATAAAAACTAAGTTTAGGTTGTTGATTTTAGATACCGAGAAAATGCTAACCGCCTTTCTATTGCTCTACGAAGTCAACCAAGATCTTCACGGGATACAGCAGTTGATTGGATAGAATATGTAATTGCAAATAAAGGAGCGAAGCATCTTAGAATGGAGGGTTATAATCTAACAATTATTGAGTATTATATGTTAGACGTACTACTAGTATGGATTATAACAGTAGTAACGATCATATATATAGTTAAACGTTTTGTTCAACTAATGTACTTTAGGTGTTGTAAGGTTAAGACAGATTAGAGATAATTTTTCGTAGCATGGCATAATAAGAGAACTAATATGCATTATCACTCTTTGTCTATGGCTATTTGCTTTAAGAGGATTTAAACTCAGCAATGATAAGATTTTTATTTCAAGTCTTAGTACTGTTATTTGCAGCGCCTGAACAAAATTCTTCTCTTTTTAAGTCGGATACAGCATTTTAAAATCAATTACCGCCTGCTTTACAGACCATTTTAATGCGTATTGCAGTACTTTTGTTCTCGTATTCATCATAATTTCTTAAGTGAAGTAAGCTTACAAAATTAAAGTACTCGAAAGTAACCCATGAGATTATATGACGCAATAATCCGATTCATTGTGTACTGAGCTGTTTAATACATAATTACTACTCCATCAGTGAATGATAACTGCTGTAAATGTATAATATTTTAATCGCTCGCTCTTAATGTGGCAAAGTAGTCTATCAAGATAACATTTAAGACCGCAATCTTGAAATTACTGTTTGCCAACATTAGGTACTGGCCCTTTCATCTTAATTAATTAACTGCATCAATTAGTCAAAAGATCGCAGATCACGGTAAAGTTATTTTAATCTTTCATTCAAAAATTAGTAAAAACAAACGGAAGTTAACGTATATCCCGTATTGCACGTAGAGACTAATAAACATATATTTAGTTACCGATATCAGGAATACGTAAAGTCAACTTAGAAGTTTTAGATTTTGTTCAGACATACAGTGGTTTGACTTATAATTAACACAACCCGTAGCACAAAACTATATATTGATCAATTTTTATATCAATACGCACGGTAGTAATTCAGTCAATTTATAAAGAATTAGTCATGATTAATTCCACGAAATGAAGACGTTAGTGAAACTTACTGAAAATTTGCATATTAAATAAGTCACTATATACTTACACAGTATAAAATTTACTTTACTTACTTCTTATAAGAAATAAAAATAATTTGACTACTGTAAAGTGTAAAAGTGGTTGATATTATCCTCGACGGTATCGAGTAAGCAAATAGTCGATCTATTGCTTGAATCAATCAATTTATACTTTGCAACATCGATGATATATAAATCTAATAACTGCCCTAAATACATATACCAAAACTGTCATTACGATAACGAACACTAAAAGCACGTCCAGTAAATAATACTCAACAAAACTTTGATTATATGCCTGAATTCGAAGATATTCAGCTCCCTTATTTGCTATAACGTATTCAATCCAGTCAGCCGCTATTTCCCTTGATGTTCTAGGATTACTTTGCAGAATTGCAGATACATACTCGGCGTTTTTTCTATACCTGTTAGAAGAGATCACCGTTTAGATATGTGAACGTGAAAATACTGCTTTTAGTCAAAATAGAATTTCATTATACGTATATCAAGGCTTCGATCCGATAAACTTCTGGATCCTGACATAATTGGTACGCAAACATGATTACTAGATTTTGTACTGCATTTATGACTTTCAAGCAATACCGTAGTTACAATAATTTGGTTGTTAACGCCTGCTACGGTATGTTAAAAACTGTAGCCACTGTAACTATTTCATTAATGATTTACCTTTCGTTAGTTAGAAGATTTTGTATTCCGTTGATTATGTCGTTTGACGTCAAGTTATTAAAATTTAATCCAAGTCCAATATCCGCACGTAGGATCAGTTGTAAATTGCCAAACTGATCAAACTGAATTGGCATTCCGAGAATTGGCACACCGTGAAATGCAGCTTCGTACATACCGTTATGACCACAGTGAGATAAGAAAGCAACTACATTACTATGTCCGAGAATATCATTTTGCGGTAGCCATGGCAGAACTTTTACATGTTTACCTAAATTTTTTATATTAAATTTATTTCTCCATAAGATTTTATAAGGTAATTGATTAAAAGCATTAACTAAAATATCCATCTTTTCCTGGCTAAAAGATTCAATAATCGAGCCAAACGATACATAAATCACTTTTGTATTTCCTGTCAGAAATGTTTCTAGGTCATTCGGCAATGGCTTAGCCCGTTGGGTAGTTATAGGTCCAATAACTTTAACGTTCGGCAATACTGGGCGAGGAAATTCTAAGATAAAATCTGCTGGTATAAGCAGCAGAGATGGTGTATATTCGGTTTCTTCCGCGCTCATAGATGGATTGATCTTGTAGTGACGATTTACTTTATCAACCGTTGAACGAAAATATATCGAATGTGTACTACTCCATATCACATAAAATAAACAATTAAGCAGTCTATGTTTAAAATTCATAGCTGACGGAAGTCCACTACCCAATTGAGGAATATAAGATAAGGGTGATGGATTACCAAGTAAACCGCGATGTAAATTAAAACTGCCTGGGGATATTACTACATGAGGTTTATTGGCTGCCATTGCCACTAAATTATTACAAAGATAGCCTCGATCGGTTACTAAAATATCGATAGTCTTATAATAAGCCATAATATTTGAATTATTCAATATCCCGTGGCAATGTTCTTCAAGTACTTCAGCAAAGTCGTTAAGTGCATCAAACATGCTCTTATTGTCCTTAACATGACTAAAATTGGCGGGACGCCTAGATTCGTAAATATCGACGGGAGTTTTCATATCAGGAACTGTTTGCGTTTTTTCAACTGCAATACGTACCTGGAAAGAAGAGCAACGATTAGGTCGAGACTGCAAATTAGAATAATATCTATATCCTTAACGATTTAGTTAGTCTACTGAATGGGACTAAATGGGTTGTATGAATTTTAAAGATATACGTACGTCTACGGTTGGAATTGGGATTAATTTAGAGTTGTCCAGCCAAACTGTTTGCCTATCCTTAGCCAGACAATCTTACGTCACCCTGTTCTATTAGGTAGTAGCTAAAAGGGCACAACAGTTTGGATTTCTGGACAGATCTACGGCAGATGCATAAATGTCCAGAGTACTATATGGCTGTATTGAGATGTGCATACTGGACGTGTATATTATTAGAGTACATGGAGTTGGATATTTCAGGTATTCTTTATTGTTGAGATCAACATGGATCCATGGGTCTACAGTGGAGTAAAAAAATCACTTAATATTGTAGGAGTCGGATATCCATGTTGATCCTGTTACTGTTATGAGTCATGCTATCAACGCAAGTGTTCATCTTGTACTTATGCACTTCTGCTACTTTGAACAGGACTACTGAAATTGATGTCCCTTGTACTGTACTGGAAGATGATGTTAGCTCATATTCGAGAATATACATACAGTAGAGACGTCAGGTCTAAGTAGCGTACGACAATTCGACAAGAGTACCTCGTGTCCTCGCTGCATCAAAGTTTCAGCTATGAGGTTCATAGAATGGACGTGGCTTTTACCAAACATTGGTATCACAGCAATCTTTACAGAATGAACATTTTGCATGAGGAAGGCAAACAGCAATATTAAAGAAAAGGATTTTCTCCTTAACATCGTAGTATGCATACTATCTTTATCCAAAATATCAGCAATTTACGGTAACAAGTCTGAAAAGCTAAACTCAACACGACGTACTTGACTGCTTGAGCGGAAAATGAGGAGCAGCGATGCTATTGGGTACTGTAATTCCGCTGTCTTTGTTTTGATTGTTTACATGCTGAATGATACTGCACTGCACTGTACAGTACTGTAGATTGTACAGGGCAGTAGGGCACATGGCTAATAACAATCTGTCAATCAATCTTTGGTTATCGAGGTAAAAAATGATCTCTGGTCATAATTGATTAATTAATTCATTAATTAATACATTAAAGTATAACAACACTGTTGATATGTTAATCAGTATGATGTAAGTCAAAAGGCATCAAATAATAGTCCAAATCATGTTCGAATATGCCTGAACAAGTGAACATGAATGTGTGCTATTGCGCTTTTAAATCATCCGGGCATCCGGCATACGAATTGCATTCGCGCTATGTCAGCATCATACTGAATGCTGGATGCAAAACGCTATGTACCAGTATGAAGGCTGCACTGAGATTAATGTTTACAGAACAACTTACAGTACTGTATAGCAGACAGTGATTGAACAGCTATGCAGTTACTGTTTAGTCTGTTGTGTAGTTAATAAAACGTTAAAAAACTTTCCGCGTGTCATTTTGGTGTTTTTGTTATTTGGAATAGGTTACCTGTAGCAAAAAGGGTTAAAAGATGCAGAGATTAGTTGTGACCTTGTCTCTAGCACTGCTATTATCATCATCAGTCGGAGATGCTGCTAAAATTGTTGTCGTACCATTGTTTGGTAAAAGTCACGTTTTCGTGATGGATTTCCTATCAGGGGAGTTAATACGTCGTGGCCATGAGGTAAATAAATAGTAAATAGTCAGTAAAGTACTGTACCAGCACAGAAATGATCTATTTTGATGGTGAGCTCTAACTTGCTAAATTGAGTTGCTTGTGATTTGTATGAATGATTGTTATCGTATGATATCATGATAGGAATTAAATTTTTAGCCAAATTATATTGATCAGCAATCATCCAATCGTCATCATCGCAAAACTGATCAATTCCAGTTATGATGTGTGGATGCATTGATCAAATGCATCGTATAGAACGTTATTTTCTTGTCTCGCTATTTAGGTCGTACTTGCTGGTAACACTGTATTCTTATGTGCGTATATCGTTACGGATTATTTAACAGTAATCAAATTTAATTTATTTATTCAAAGTTAATTGCACGAGCATGTATCACTATTATCCAAAGACTTTTTATGTGTTAGAACCATTAATTTTCGAAAACATATCTAAATAATAATAGATACGATTGCTGTACTATACTGTGATACGCAATATGCAGTACTGTACGTTCGACGCTCATACGAGTAGTATTTATGCCATCATGAGCACAAACGTATTCGTTACAGTATTAACTAACTATATTGATCGTGAACATGACATTATGAGAATTACAATTTCCGATCTGGGTCTATGTAGTTAACTTATTTGAATGAACGAAGGCATGTTTACTATTATTCACTTATTGTTCGCATAACAGCCATCATGTTGCCTATGCATTTCTATATTACAGTTTAATAACTAGACAAGAAAATTAGATAATATCAGATGTGATGCTTCGCATTTACCCTAAGTCCATGTCGTGCATTATATCGACTCTAATCGCATCGTCTATACGTATATATTTCGTAAATTAGGTCAAAATCTTAGTGGAAAAAGCCAATGTTTTACCTAACATGAAAACCCCAGTAGATATTTACACTATTCCAGAGCCTTTTGACGAATACGAGGTATCTGTAAAAATTCTACGAGAAAATAAATTTATTGAAGGCATGAACAAATTTTTGAAATTGCAAAATGATCACTGCAATGGATTACTCAACAATTCTCGGATAATGAAAGCATACCTTGATTATGATCTTGTTATCAGTGATCGGATGTTTATGTGTAATACGTTATTCGCTCAGGCAATTGGTAAACAAAATGTTCTATATTCTACTGGAGGCTTTGGACTCCGTCGCGGAGTACTTGGTAATCCATACCCATTATCGTATGTACCCCAGATGAGCACAACATTCACACCAGAAATGAATCTGTTACAGCGATGTATTAATGTATTAGTTTATTTAATTGGAGAAATTGTATACCGAGTTATGTTCGATCCGATGACAGAGAATTTAATGCGAAAATTTAATATTAGTACACATTTAAGCGGCGCTGATTTAGATAATACACCGTCTCTTGTTCTCTTACCGGTCGATTTTGCATTGGAATATCCTCGACCTGTTTTACCCAATGTTAAAATTGTAGGTCCTTTAACACCTAGACCAGCTTCACCATTGCCAAGTGATCTTGAAAAGTTTGTTAACGAATCGCCTCAAGTCGTCCTGGTATCATTTGGTACTATATTAGATGGTCTATCTGACGAAAAAATTGCTATATTGCTTGAAGCTTTCAATAAACTACCCTATAAGATCTTATGGAAAAGTAAGAATGTTGACTTAAAAACTGGTAAAAACGTTAAAATCGTCAAATGGTTTCCTCAAAATGATTTACTTGGTCATAACAATGTTGTCGCTTTCGTAACACATTGTGGTCATAATAGCATGTACGAAGCTGCGTATCATGGCGTTCCAGTTATTGGTATGCCAGTATTTGGTGATCAACCCGATAATTTACAGCAACTGTTACGAAGAGGAGTAGCAGTCGGATTAAATACTGGTAATTTGACTGTCGATGGAGTTATAAATGCTATTAAAACAGTCGTTACAGACGATCGGTAAGCATTTATGATAAGCATTGTTAAGTGTGATTTATTATGTAATTATTTATAGATTAAATTATAATAGAAATTTTTATTAGCTTATTAATAATATTTTTGTTAGTTAAAAACTAAAAACTATGATTCATTATCTTCATGTAGATATAGTCGGAAAATGAAGGAACTATCGGTGGTAATTAAGAGTCGACCTAGAACACCTTTACAGACAGCAGCAGATTGGATCGACTACGTATTAATTAGCAATGGTGCTAAACATTTAAGAGTAGAGAAATATAATCTCAATTTTATACAATACTACTTAATCGACGTTTGTTTTGTTATTTTATCTATAATATATATTATTTTTAAGATATTTCAGTTTATTTGTCGTAAATGTTGTAGACGACAGTCAAAAAGTAAAAAGGATTAACAATGTAATTGTAATATTATAATTTGTGACTGTATTAGATAGATTAATATCTAGATTTATACATTATATGTAGATTTTATGATAGTTTTAAATATGTTTGTTATAAGTACGCATAGATACGATTCTTGTAATCATTAAGTTGTATTTTAGTATTATGTAATGCCAGAGTTATGTAACTGAAAAATGGCAAACACGTATTGGGGAAATGATTAAAACTACTATATGAAGAAGTCATAGGTTAATATACCTTATCATGATATAAATAATATAAAAATTTATCTGAGGATCAGATACAGGACTATAAATGCAATGATGCTTTATGGGTATCTTAACAATAACAATACCTAATTACAACAGCGGCATCTCCGAGTTATTGAATGCGTACTGCACTGTTAAGTTCAAACTGTGCTCGAGGGACTTATATAAACGCGTATTAGTTAATTTTAAGGTACCTAGTTGTGCATTGTCACGGTCACGGCTGTAGCCCTAAGACATGGACTACTAAACAGGCAATAGATATGAATAGCAAATATAGTAGATGCTGGTAAGCAAAAACTTTCTCTTGCAGAAGCTGTGGCATCGGTATTGATATAACTGCACTACATGCAGCATTTGCAGTTAATAGGCAACGCCCAAACAGTACCCGTTTCCCAATCTAGCTCACGGCATGCTCACTTAAGTTCAGTATTTAAAGTTATGAAGCCAGCGAATTGTAGCTATACGTATTGCAATTTGCTATGACAGTAATTCGCATATATTTATTATGCAGATTATACCAATTAGCATAAAGTATAGTTTATACTACTTCAGTTAGTGTGGATGCATTCTGGGTAGTTTAACACATGGAGTACAGTCATACAGATAAATACGTTTGTGCAATTATTGTGCATGCATCTTAAGATCTCTTTAAAAAAGTTCCTTTAAAATTATACTCCAATTGTATTGCAATTAAGTAGAGTAAGTATTAGCAGAATAATAACAAATTTTGATAGGCCTCTGCTCCTGCTGTGAAAAGACATCTCGGCGAGTTACTCTAGAAAGGCTATTGTTTTCAATTTTACTTTTAATACTCGTATGCTTACAAACGGTATACATGCAAGAATAATAATAGCATATTACGAACAGTAAAGGGGGTAAAGATGCTAAGACTATTTACAACGCTATCGATATCGTTACTATTCCTATTATCATCACCAACTGGAGATGCTGCTAAAATTATCCTTTTACCAATGTTTGGTAAAAGTCATGTCTTCGTGATGGATTTACTATCAGAGGAATTAATTCAAAGGGGTCATGAGGTAAAATAATAAGTACAGTAGTTTATTTTCATTCTGTTACAGCGATCGTTAGTACGGTGTTTTAGTTTATTACAAAAGCGCTTGTAGATTATTGCTTTGATCTTCAACTGCACATCAATCATGTGGAATACACAAATGTAAATAAAATTAGACCATCTCATGTTGATTCTATGCGTAATTCATATATTTTCTATGACTAGGTAAAAATTGTGGTAGAAAAAGCTAATGTTTTACCTAATATGAAAGCGCCAGTAGATATTTACACTGTTTCAGAGCCTTTTGACGAATACGAGGTATCAGTTAAATATCTGAGAGAAAATAAGTTGATACAAGGCATTAGCTCGATCTTAAGGCTACAGTTTGGTCACTGCAATGATCTACTCAACAATTCTCGGATAATGAAAGCATACCTTGATTATGATCTTGTTATCAGTGATCGGATGTTTGCTTGCAATACCTTATTCGCCCAGGCAATTGGTAAACCAAACGTTTTATATTCCACATTAGGTTTTGCATATGCTCGTGGAATACTTGGCAATCCATACCCTTTATCGTACGCACCTCAAATGGGCACAACATTTACATCAGAAATGAATCTATTACAGCGATGTATTAATGTATTAGTTTATTTAATTGGAGAAATTGTATACCGAGTTATGTTCGATCCGATGACAGAGAATTTAATGCGAAAATTTAATATTAGTACACATTTAAGCGGCGCTGATTTAGATTATACACCGTCTCTTGTTCTCTTACCGGTCGATTTTGCATTGGAATATCCTCGACCTGTTTTACCCAATGTTAAAATTGTAGGTCCTTTAACACCTAGACCAGCTTCACCATTGCCAAGTGATCTTGAAAAGTTTGTTAACGAATCGCCTCAAGTCGTCCTGGTATCATTTGGTACTATATTAGACAGTCTATCTGACGAAAAAATTGCTATATTGCTTGAAGCTTTCAATAAACTACCCTATAAGATCTTATGGAAAAGTAAGAATGTTGATTTAAAAACTGGTAAAAACGTTAAAATCGTCAAATGGTTTCCTCAAAATGATTTACTTGGTCATAACAATGTTGTCGCTTTCGTAACACATTGTGGTCATAATAGCATGTACGAAGCTGCGTATCATGGCGTTCCAGTTATTGGTATGCCAGTATTTGGTGATCAACCCGATAATTTACAGCAACTGTTGCGAAGAGGAGTAGCAGTCGGATTAAATACTGGTAATTTGACTGTCGATGGAGTTATAAATGCTATTAAAACAGTTGTTACAGACGATCGGTAAGCATTTATGATAGAATTCATTTATTACAATACCGTAGTTTATTTGTAAATTACATATCGATTTAATAAATGTTGAAATTATTGAAAGTATTTTATTAACAAGTACTATAAATAATTATGATATATACTGTATAGGTACAGTCAGAAAATGAAGGAACTATCTATTGCAATTAAGAGTCGACCTAGAACACCTTTACAGACAGCAGCAGATTGGATCGACTACGTATTAATTAGCAATGGTGCTAAACATTTAAGAGTAGAGAAATATAATCTCAATTTTATACAATATTACTTAATCGACGTTTGTTTTGTTATTTTATCTATAATATACATTATTTTTAAGATATTTCAGTTTACTTGTCGTAAATGTTGTAGACGACAGTCAAAAAGTAAGAAGGATTAATAATATAATTGTAATATTACGACTGTATTAGATAGATTAATATCCAATAAATACGTTTATTTATTATCTTTTTTAACAAATAAATATATTTCAGTTCTTGCAATTCCTACATGTAAGATGATAACACTATTTTGCTGATATCTGTATTTATAGCACTAGTAATACGAAAATAAATTGGAACATCATAAAATTTTGATGGTCATTAGTGTGAAGAATGGAGTCTGAGTCAGTTAGCTATACAGCGGGA